AACTAATGGAACAGTTTTTGGCACTAAACCAGATCCTCCCGTGCCAAGAGGTTCCAGGAAAACTAGCACATCCCAGATCAGAAGGAAGTAAGGCAGCAACTGGGGACTTTTTCCTAATGAATCCAATGAATCCTCGGAAAAATGATCCACCAAGGGTCAGCTCTGGGTAGAAAACAAGTGGCGGGGCCTTGGAGGGCTTTTGTTTGTTCCTTTCCTAAAGAGAGGGGAGAAGAATCCAAAATGTGGCATGCATTGGGGTAAACTAGGAACAAACCAAAGAAATAACCAGGAACATCAGACTCATCACTAAATATTAGCAATGCGTAGCCTTCAGTTCTGTCCCGGCCAGTTCACCGCAGGGAGAAAAAGGGAAATGATGAAATGGAGGAGAGAGTGGGAGGAAAAGGAGAGAGCAGAGAGAGAGAATAAGAGCCGAAAGTGAGGCRAACTTTGAAGATGAGAGAAAGGAAGAAACACCATAATATTTCAGAGACAAAGCCACACGACACCAAAGCGCACTGGGGAACGGCAGATGGAGAAGGCTCCGGAGACGAAGCTGGGATTGTTGTCTGAGGGTCCACTACTGTCTTCACACCTTCCTGCTCCCATGAGCCCCTTAGAAACAGAAAGTCAGAGCTGCAGGATGTGGGCTGGTCCCGGCCACGCCTCCTCCCTGGGCTGGGTGGGATGGAGCCCCTCCCTGCAAATTCACGTCTACATGGAGGCTRGGGATGAGGGCTCGTTTGGAAATAGGGTCTTTGGGATGTAGTTATTACCATGGGGTCATACTTGGGGTGGCCCTCGGTTCTACGATCTGTGTTCTTGTAAGAAGGCCACGAGAAAACAGACACCCAGAGACCCACGGGTAGAGGTCTCTTGATGACAGAGGCAGGGATTAGAAGAGAGGCCAAGAGCCCATGCGGGGCGCATAGATCATCACACCTCGATTTAGACTTCCAACGTCCAGAAAAATGGGGCAGTAGAGTTCTGCTGTTTTACGCCACCTAACTTGGGGGAGTTTGTCCTGGCAGCCCTTGGGGGAAAACACACCTCCCTTGGTGGGAGAGGAATCTAGGATGCCCGAGGTGTCCAAGGTCGCCGAGTGGACAGGTGGCCAACCTCCTGATCCAACTTTCCTTTTTCTTCAAGAATTTTATTTGCCGTGCAGCATCCTTCATCTTATCGAAACAAGGCAATAATATTTCCCTTCTATTGTCCGAGTTTATTTTGAAACCATATTTTCTGCTGAGTTTTGAAATCCATATGAAGGGACAATTCAGGTTTTAGAAATCCTTTTAGACTAGGAAGTTTTTCAATAAATCTACTGCCTGTTCCTTTGGTATTTTGGATCAGGCTAAGAGTTTATTACTTTTGAGAGGGGAGGGCTGCCTCTTTGAAGGACATTGAGGTCGCCACTTGTTTTCCTACGCTGAGCACCTTGGGTTTTATTTTTGTTGTTGTTTTGTTTTGGTACTGGGGATCGAATCCAGCGGATCTCTACCACTGAGCCACATCCCCAGATCTTCTTATGGTTTTTATTCTGAGACAGGGTCTTGCCAAGTTGCTGAGGCTGGCTTTGAACTTGCAATCCTCCTGCCTCAGCCTCACTGGGATTACAAGGTGTGCACCACCACGCCCACCTCGTCTGAGCAACTTTGTAAAGGCAAGCCAAGTGTTGCTGGGGTCATTGGATGGAAGACTGTCTTTGAAGTAGATCTGCCACCTTTTTTTTTTTCCAGTGTTGGGGGTTGAACCCAGGGCCTAATGTGCGCTAGGCAAGCCCTTTACCAGTAACTGACACCCCAAGCCCCAAAGAAGACCCTTTGATAGGAAATGTGTGAACCATTATTTTSGAGTTTTTAGCTGACATCAGATCACACGGTGTCTCCATGAGGTTTTAATTATTTAGAAGTTCTTCACCCTTTTTTGGATCATGTCTCCCTCTGAGAAACGGATAAAAGCCATGGATTTTCTTCCAGAAAACCACACACCCTCGCCACTCTTTGACCTTACTCTCAGGGCATTTCCAGGGACCAGGCCCCACTTTGTCCTCCACCCACTGGACCCCAGGTTGAGGCTCTCAGCTTGGAGACTGTCCTCATGCAGCCCGCTGGGGCCTGAGACATGTCCCTCCAGTTCCCCTGTCATCTGTGAACATGGCTGATTCTGGCCTYGGCAGCTGGGTTTTCTTTCCTACCTGCTAATGCGGGAAGGGGAGAGTCTAGAAACAACTGCGCTGGGGATGGGGAGCCAAGCTCTTGCTGAGCATTTCTGCCTGAATTTCCTCTGARATGGAGGCAGGCAGAAATTCCCAGGGGGCTTCAGCAGCCTGAAGAGGATTCATTGAATCATGTGGCTAAAGACCAGGGGACTGACGGATTTTCCTGCTATTCCTCGAAAGCACCATGTTCTCGCTTGCCTCTGGTCCTTCTAGAACCTTCTCCCTTTGTCTGCTGTGCTCCTCACCCTACCTTTCCCACCTGGTGCCCTCTCTCTACCTCTGCTCAGGTCTTTCACTAGACTCAACTTCCTCCTGAACTTTTCCTGACCGCCCTCCGCTCTTCCATATGCCCCCATTTCTGCTTTTTGTTTTCCCGAGATCCTTGTCACACTGTGTTGTCATGGGCTCTGCTCATCTGTGTCTCTGCTGGACGGCATGTTCCAGGAGGACTTGGGCCACATGATTCTTGCGATCCTCCTACTCAACACTCAGCTTGGTGTCCAGAGCACAGAGTGTGACAGGTACAAATCTGTTGGGCACACAGATGAATCATGGGAAGCCTCTGTTCAGGGTTGCCCGACCTTGCCGCCATTGGCATCTTGGACTTGGTGACTGGTTGTTATGGTGGCTGTCCTCCCACAGTGGATGTCAGTAGCCTCCCTCCTTGGTTTCCACCCACCATGCGCCAGTAGCACATTCACCCAGTCATGACAACCAAACATGTCCCTGGACACTGTTCAGTGATGACCAATGGGAATAAAACCACGGCGGTTAAGAACTTTTGCTCTAATGAATGACCATTGACCTTGGGGRTCACACTGCCCGTCTGGAGTCTAGATCAGGGCTTGAGTTCAGTTAGTCCATTGATGAACGTTGACAGGGCAACCAGTAAATGATAGGGGAAATGGGTGAAGGACTTCTTGTAGGTCCTCAGAAGAGGGGAAAATTGTACTGCACAGAGCTGTAACTAATGAGGCTCCCTGCACCCCTGCTCAGGCTTGGCTGCTTGGTTCTGTCAGCTGGTTAGGGAGGCTGAAGGCAGGGTCCTGGAGTGAGATCAATTTTTTTAGCCATTAAATCAACTCAGGAAGATCCCTGCTGCTGTGGTTCTGTCCTCAGAAGTAGGTAGAGGAGGGAAATAATTTAAACTCATGCATGTTTTTTTTTTKGGGGGGGGGTACCGGGGATTGAACTCAGGGCACTCGACCACTGATATCTCCAGCCCTATTTTGTATTTTATTAGAGACCTGGTCTCACTGAGTTGCTTAGCGCCTCAATAAATCGCTGAGGGTGGCTTTGAACTTGTGGTCCTCCTGCCTCCGCCTCCCAAGCCACTAGGATTACAGGTGTGAGCCACTGCGCTCGGCCAAATGCTCCATCAACAGGGTATCCACCATCCCCACCCGTGACCTTTCTCTGGTGGCAACAAGGGACTGAAAAGTGGATACAGTGACTCTTGGCTCTCACCAAGTCATGGACACATCAGATTTGGAGGTCATTCAAGGTCATGCAATCATCATCTCATACTTTGGTTTCAACCAAGTCCATGCCCCCAAACCTCGAGAATGTATGTTTTTGTGATGGTTTGTGCATGTGCTGAGAATAGGAATCTCTAGCTTTCATCATATTTTCTTTCTTTCTTTTTTTATCTCTGTATTTWAAAAAAAATTGTAGTTGTAGATGGACAGAATGCCTTTATTTTATTTGTTTTTATGTGGTGCTAAGGATTGAACCCAGTGCCTCACACATGCTAGGTAAGCGCTCTGCCACTCAGTTACAGTCCCAGCCCTCATCATATTTTCAAAGGCATTTCAAACCCTCAAATGTGGCTGGGTGTGGTGGCCCACACCTATAATCCCCAGCAGCTTGGGAGGCTAAGGCAGGAGGATCACTAGTTCAAAGCCAGCCTCAGCAATTTAGGGAGAGACCCTGTCTCAAAATAAAACATAAAAAGGACTGGGATGTGGCTTAGTGGTTAAACTCTCCTGGATTGAATCCCTGGCACTCCGCCCCCTCCAACAAAAACCTTCAACTATAAATAGTCATTAGTCTAATCTCTTCATTTGASAGTAGAGGAAATGGAAGCTCAGAGTTTAAGAGGCTCTTTCAAGTTTCAGTAGTTGGAATCTGGTAGAGCCCAGAGCCCAGATGCACACCCAGATCTCCCTCTACCTCTCTGCCCAGTGGGGTGATTCTCTGATGGAGGACTGGACCTGGCAAGGTGTGAGGCATGAGGTCACTAGAGAGGATGGGTCCCGAGGACTGGGGAGCTAGGGAGGAGTGTGCCTTGCTAAGAGGGTGGCCAGATAAGATACATGATGATGTACTACATTTGAAATTTAGATAAATGAACTATTTGGGGGGTATAAGTATATCCCAAATGTTACATGGGATAGACTTACACCAAAAATCTTATTTGTTGCTTATATGAAATTCACTTTGAACTGGATACCTTAGATTTATTTTTTCATTTAATTTTTTTGTGTGTGTGTGTGCTAAATCCGACAACCCTGTGTGCTAAGGATGGCCCTGGAGTCTTCCGCTGGGAAGTGAACGCTAAGCCACCTGCTGATGGGTTTTAGTGACTTCCAAGTCTGGGACTCAAACTGCCTCTGGCCCTGACCTTCATCGGAGCCATGTAGGCCCTTGGTCTGTGCAAGGCACAGCCCGCGATGAGCCCGTGTGGTTCTCTCTGTGACTGCAGAGGCCCCGGAGGGCCTGGCGGGCTCTAGGTGTTCTGTTTGCGTGTGGCCTCTCAGAGGATGACATTTCACAGATCTGTGAAGAGTAAAGATCAAATTTATTTAATACAACATCCCGCAGGGTCCCTGCAGCTATGTCACTGAGGCCATCTTGGTTAGGTGTGCGTACTCCACAGTGCCAAGGGCGGCAGCCCTGCGTCCATGCTCCCAAGACCCCCCTCAGAACCATCTTGAGACCTCAGAAGACCATTTTTTTTAAAGCAAGGAATAAATAAAAAAAAAAATTAGTAAGAAAAATACACATTTCATTTTCCTATTAAAAAACACTATCTGCTGTAGGCTCCCATCATCTCATCCTTTGGCCCTCAGCAGGGAGAAGAAAAGAGAAGATACAGAAAACCGCCCAGAACACCCGTGCCTGCCCCACCTCCGGGTTCTGCCTGTGTCAACTGGGCTTCAGGTCGGTGGATCAAAGGAGGTGCTCCCAAGCCACGGTGTTCTCCCACTGTGGCGGGTGACGTCATAGAGGGGACAGACAGAAGCTGTATGGCCAGCACTGTGCACTTCCAAAGAACAAGGGCTACCCAGAGCTACAGGCTTTTGAAGGACCACAGGAAAAGAAAGAAAAGAAGAAAACAAACTACCCTAAAACAAGCTGCCCCCAGACCAGGCCATTGACTAGAAGTAACTGACTATAAAACAAAACCAGAGTCAGTGTAGGAGGGTACATGGGAAAGGTTTTTTTTAAATCTCCGTACAAGACAAAGTATTCAAGTTTCGGAATATCCCCATGGCCTGTTTACCCTGAACTCCTGCTGCTCTTCCAAATTGCATGGATGCTCCAACTTGGAAGGAGGGTYACCTGGGCAATTAAACAGCCCCTCCTGACTTCTTCATGCCCAACGTTAACACAACAGGGTGGACACAAGAACTGGTGGTTTGGCTGGAGGAATTGCTATGTTCGGTGGGAGCAGGGCAGGTCATAAATAAATGCGCAGAACTCTTGGAACACAGGAAGCATCTGCTCCTCTTGGGGACGTGGATGTCCTCTCGGGGATGAGCCCTTGTCTTCATGGTCCTAAGTTCCATCAAGGGAGCCTTCCGTTCTCTGTAGTGACAAGAGACAACACAATCGACGGTCACACCCCTCAGGATTGAAGGTTGCCCTGGGAAGTAATTCGGTGGTAGATTGCTCCTGGGTTCAAACCCCAGTCCACCCTGCCGCAGATTCCTCCTGAGYCCTGCTACTGGCAAAAAAAGGAAAGAGATTCTGATACACTCTGATGAACCTTTCAAGAATTAAGCTAATGAAATAAGCCAGGAAGAAAAGGGCAAATGTGGAATGATCCCACTTGTACGACGTACAACAATGATCAAATTTACAAAGACAGAAGGTGGCATAGCGGTTGCCGGGGGCGAGGGCAGAAGCAATGAGGAGTTACTGTTTAATGGGTACAGAGTGTCAGTTGGGGATGATAAGTTCCGGGGATGGAGAAGGTGTTGGTGGCACAGCAATGTGAATGCAACTGATATAACTGAGATTATATATATATATATATATATATATATCAGTACTGGGGGTCAAATCAGTGCCTCATGCATGTGCTAGGCAAGTGCTCTGCCACTGAGCCACACCCCAGCCCTTGAATTATACACATTTATTTTTCCAGTACTGGGGATTGAACCCAGGTGTGCTCTATCACTGAATTGCATCCCCAACCCCAGTTTTCAATTTTGTTTTGAGACAGTCTTGCTAAATTGCCCAGACTGGACCTTGAATCTGCAATCCTCCTGCCTCAGCCTCCCAAGTCCCTGGGATTACAGGTGGGTGACACCACATCTGGCTGAATTATGTTTTTAAATGTTAAAATGATAAATTTCAGGTTATTTATATTTTATCATAGTAAAAAGTTTTGTTTTCTTTCTTTTCTTTCTTTTTTTTCTAATTCCTCACGTCTTCTTCTAGTGTTCTTTAACTGACTCAAAGGTACTTGTGTCACTTTCCTGCCTACCACCTGCCCGGGCCCCCCTCTGACCCAGCACTCTTTCCTAAGCTGAGGATGCAAGAACCTGCCCTCAGGAACTCTGTGTTCCATCAATTACTGACAGCCCTAGATCAAGTCTCTCCCCAGACACCTCGACTCTCCCTCTTTGGGGACAGATAGTGCCCAGGGCACTGCTGTAGGACCAAGGCCAGAGACGGAAAGGGCTGGGCCACAGTTGGCAGGGCCTCGGGTTTTGAAGTAAAGGTTAACATGCCCACACCCAAGGATGGGATTTGCTGTGCTTGAGTCAGAGGCTGTCGGCCTCCCAAGTACGGCCGCAGAATCGCTCTGCTTCCAGTCAGAACATGATATGGACCTCCTCAAGGGGCATTTTGCTTTGAGCCTCCCCTGGGATCTCTAATTTCTACTTCTAGAAAGTCCTCTGAACATTTCCCATATACGAAGACTGTGCTAGGTGCCCATTTAATCCTTGCAACGACTAGGCAAGGAGTTTTCATGTCCCCAGTTTATAGGCGGGGAAACAGAGGTCTGGAGGGATTAAGACAGGGCTCTGCAGCTTGTCAGGGGGAAGTTAAGTTTGAATGTGAATCTCCGGTTCCTAAGTCCAAGCTTGGTTTTGGCTGAACCCTAGGCCTTGGGGAAAGCAACTGTTACATTCCCCAAGTGGGGCAGGGGCATTTCAGGGCCAAATAAAGTTAAATCCCCCAAGCACATTCACTATGGCCAACGTGTTGGGTGGAAAGGGCTTTAAAGTGGATAACCAATGAGTTTCTCTGGGGGTTTGCATGGTTTCTCATTTAGACTCTAAGAAAATCCTAGAGCTGGACTTGGTGGGGGCACACCTATAATCCCAGCTACTCTGGAGGCTGAGACAAGAGGATCAAAAATTTGAGGCTAGCTTCAGCAGCTTAGTGAGACCCTGTCTCAATATAAAACACAAAAGGGGCTGGGGATGTGGCTCAGGAGTAGAGTGCTTGGTTAGCATGCGTGAGGTTCTGGGTTTAATCCCCAGTACCCACCATGTCCCTCAAAAAGAAAAAAAAAATTTAGTAAGTGGTCATTGTTGTTGCTGTCAGGCTGTTGCTGATGCTCTCCAATTTGTAGATGGGGAAACTTAAAGAGGGTTGAAGAGCTGGAGAACCCACTCTCCAGTCTCCTGAGCCCTGCTACTGGGCAAGTTTCCTTGCAGCTCAGCTTCCTGCAAGCCCCAGGAAGGAGAAAAGCGAGCTATTACTGACAAATGCCTTTTTTTTTCTTTTTTTTTTTTTTTTAACCCCATAAGAAAACAGGTTCTTGTCAAGATCTCAAGACCCTTGCAGGTCCAGATTCTCCCCCTTCACTTAGGCACAGGGTGTTCTCTTGCACGTTATCTGTCTGCATTGGCCGCAAACACAATTTATAAACAAGGCAAAAATGGCAGAGGAAAAATGAAGTCAGAATGTGCCATTGAAGCAAGTCAAACAATACCAAATTAGTCGCTGGCTAAGTGGCTGTCTCATTGTTAAGATATTTCCTCCAATATGTTTTCAGAAGCAACGGCCATTAAACAAGAGCGGAATGATCGCCAGGTTTGATTTCAGGAAGGAACTCCCCTCCCATTTCCCCGCGAGGCGATTCAATTAATTTTCTCTGGACCCGCTCGCTCGGGCTGATTATGAGGGAAACTATACCTGCTTCTTTTATAAACAAAATCCACTCGCTTAAAGATTCAAAATTCCATTCCCGCCAGCTGAGAGCCCCTGTCTCCCGCCAAATGCAGGGACAGGACCAGCCTGGGTGAGCTCTGGGGAGCCTCCTGGGGGCAGAATTCTGGGGGCAGACCCACCAGGAAAGGGAAAGTTCTGTCTGAACTGGAGCTTGGAATCTTTGTCCAGAGAGACCCTTTGGATGGAAGACAAAGTAAATAGGTTGATCCTGCAGGGTGTCTATCCCCATGGGCAGCCGYCCTGCCCTGGGTGGACATAGCCCTGTCTATCTCAGCAGAGATAGTTTTATCAGGATCCCACACTGGCCAGGGAGCAAAGATCCCACTCTCTTGAGGCCTTGATCACTAGGACAGTGGCTTTATTCCACGGGGAGTCTTGGGTTGCGGGCAGCACTGGCTGGGAGCCTGGAGACCCGGCCCTGGGGGATGCTGGGCAAGTGATCCACCAATGCACACCTCAGGTTCTCCTCATCCATAAACAAGGCTCCCTGCTTCTCTGGGGCCACAGTCTCTTATTTCAGGAGTCTGGCTGGGTGTAGGCTAGAGAAAAACTTCCACTTCATTCCTCTCTTCCTTAAATTGATAGCTTTCTTCCACAACAAGAATGTCAGTGGCTTCCTGTCTGTCAAAGGCATAATACGCTCTGTTTTACAAGAATTCAGACTTGGGCAAAACAAAGGAAGCCGGGGGCCCACTGGAAGGGCTAGCAGAAACCTTGTTGGAAGTTCTTCCCAGGCTGAAAGAAGCCGTTTATGAGGCAAATTCCTCATTTCTTAAGAGAACAGCTGCCTGGTTAACTCTTGCTTTGCTGGGTAGCTTGAGAAAGGTTGAGAGTGGGYAGATAGTAGGAGACAGGCCTCGATACAGTTTGAACTGGGTCTCTGTGTCTTTCTTTAAAAAAAAAAAAATAGCTGACTAGGGTGGCATAAACCTAAAATCCTAGCTCCTCGGGAGGCTGAGGCAGGAGGATTGCAAGTTTGAGGTTGGCCTGGGCAATTCAGTGAGCCTCTGTCTCAAAATAAAAAGTAAAAAGGGCTGGGGATATAGCACAGTAATAGAGAGACCTTGGGTTCAATTCCCAGTGCCGAAAAGGAAGGGGGGAAAAAAAAGCAATAGGTACCCTAGATTCCCAGGATTTCCAGGGTCCCTTTTCATATGTGGGTTGAGAGATAATGATGGAAATAGTGGAAGAAAATATTCAAAATCCGAATTGGCCCAGCTAATCAGAGGAGCCCAGGGTTCCCAGTCTAAAACAGTGTGGGGGTGGGAGGGGGAYKAGGGGAAAGCAGGCCCTGGGAGGGTCAGGAGAGATTTCACCATTCCACAGAGAACTTTTTTAAAATGAGGTATATGAAATGTGTACTTACAGAATATCTGTTTTCCATGAAATCTACAAAACAAAGGATAACAGGTCAGTAATTCAAAGAGACACCGGGGCTTCCCGCCAGATCTCAGGGGCTGGAACAGGTTGGGGAAAGAGGGTGGGGACAATGATACAGAAGGGGACACCAGGCCATATTCTGACTCGGTGCTGCGGTTTATAGCTCCTTTACCCTGAGACCTTCAAGCTCCCTAAGGTATACAAGTTATATAATATGTATAAGTTATAACTTATATAAGATATATAAATCCCAAGACACCTCTTTTTTTAACATTTTAAATAGTTTTTTTTTTTAATTTAGTAACACTCTTTTTTTTTTAAGGGAAATATTGTAAACGAGAAAGGAGAAAGTAGAAAATAAAAATGATCTCAGATCTCATTCTCTGAATCCCACTGACACTTTTTCCCTGTCATTTTCTGCTATTAGTAGGCATTTTTTTTGGGGGGGGGCGTGCAGTTACAATTATATGAAATTTTATATCCTATCTTTTTTTTATGTAATGTGCTTTCTACATATTTTCTGGTAACTTCGTAAACATGATTGTTAGAGTAGCTACGTCACAATCGTTAAGTGGACGTGCTACTGTTTACTTGATGATTTCCTTACTTTAAAAAGTTAGATTCTTCCCAAGATTTTGCTATTTGAAGTTATACTGTCAGCATCTTCTTTGKGAGTAAAGATGTTTCCCTATTTCAGACTATTTGTCTGCCTATTCCCAAGAGTAGGATCAACAGAGCAGGAGTACATATGTGGCCAAGGCTCTTGGCATATATATAGCCAAACTATCTGGAGGGCAGGGCAGGCCCTTCCACTTTCCCTGGAGAGTCACGTCTCAGTTCCTAGGAGGCCCATTGTCTTCTTCCTGGAAGGCATGCTGTGGCTGGTTGGCCATGCCAGGCCACCATCGTGCAAACCGCCCCAACCAAATGTCAGGAAGAGGAGAGCGAGGGTGAGAGAAGCCAAAGATGACAGAAAGCTCTGCGAGGAGGGAGAGGGGTCACTGCCTGTGTTGGCTAGAGGTGGCTTTCACGCTCAGAGACAAGGGATTGGTTTGCCGCTTTGAGCAGGACCAGGCCCTAACTTGTACCATCCATGGGCTGTGTGTGGACTCTGTTGCTCATCGTAGCCTAATGAGGGGATAAGTCTGGCATTGGGAACGTCCCGTGGCACCCCCACAGGGACAGACCACCTGATGCAGGTGAACTTCCCCCTCAAGTTCTGCCAGAGATCCCACACAGCACCTGAGATGGGTGTGACCTGCCGAGATGTCAATCAACCTGCTGACTGCAAGACCCCATGAAGCCAGACTGCCCTTGAAACCTTATCCCTGCCTTTGACRTTCCCCCCTTAAATAAACCACCCGAGCCATCTTTCCTTTGTCTAGTTCCAGCTCCCATGTGGACTAGATCTCTCAGGGACTTTGCTTTTGTAAATACATTTCTGACTATTTGTATTTTGCTCTTCACTAATTATTTGAGTCTTTAAGGTTTAGGGGGGCTGACACCTCCTGAGCAGGAAGAAGATGCTGGCTTTTGCCCCCACGAATCCTGAATGGTCAGTGGCTCCCGTGTGGGGATGGATTTTCCAGAAATCTCACTGCAGACAAAGACTTGAGGACAGAGTAGGGAACCTCTTCAGCTGCCTGGGGAAGGCCCCCAGGTTCAAACCCAGTTCCTTCTAGATCTTGGGCTATCTCAGGGACCATCTGTCACGGCAGGAACCACAGCCCATCTGTTTCTCTAATTTAAAAATAGCCTGTTTCTGCAAGTTCCCCCCAGCCCCATCATCTCACACTCAATTTGTGCCCTCCCTTCTAGAAGGAACAGGGCCAGAAGATGGCACAATAGCCAAGGGTTGAGCCTGGTGTCACCTCTGCACATTGAGCCAGGTTGCAGGCAGCACTTCCCAACCCAATTCTGACTGGGAGGAACCAAACCAGCCCAGGCACTGGCTCTGCCACAGTCCCAACCAGACACAAGGGAGAAAGCGCCTCAAGGCCGTGCTTCCTAAAACAATTTGAGTGTGGATCACTAACAATTCAAATATGCTAATAATACGATGAAACACCAAGTCCATGTCCACTTATAGTTTTTGGTAATAGAACCAACATAAAAATAGAATTTGATGGTAGTAGCATTTTGTTGTTGTTGTTTTGGAGCTAGGTAGTCTACTAAGGAGCTACCTCCCCAGAGCTTTTTATTTTTTATTCTGAGACAGGGTTGCCTCAAAACTTACGATCCTCCTGCCTCAGCCTCCTGAGTACCTGGGATTCCAGGCGGCGCCCCATGCCCTGCAGCATCCACATTTTTCACAGGTACCTCTTTTTTTTTTTTTTTTTTTTTTAATCGTCTTGCATGCTGAAGGAGGAAACAATCTGGGGGGCAGGTTGGCAGTGCCTCCTGACCTGGCTGGCCTGGGGCCTTGCAGGATGGGTGGGGACGGACTCTCAAGTGTTCTTCTCTCCCTCCAGGGGGGACTTGGCCCAGAGGCCTCCTTTTCTTTGGTTCTTTCCTGATGACCATTTCCTGTTGTGGCTGTGCCGCGCCGTAGGCCCCAGCCCTATCTGTTGAGTCAGACGGGGTCCCCTCCTCATCTGACGAGCAGCCTGCTCAGCCCTCCACGGCTCACTCTGTGCCAGAAACTCAGACATCCATGATGTTTTTAAGGGAGCAGATACCCCTGGTCCTCACCACGTCCCCTGCCGCCCAATGTGCCAAGGGTAGCTTTTCTGAGAACAGCCCCAACAGGAAATGACCCCCCCAGATTGGCCAACACAAATGCAGCAGGAGCACAGTGGGTTTGGCTCCTGAGAAGCAGAACTTCATTCAGATCTGAGGGGAAACTCGGGCGTAGGAGAAACTATCTATGGGGTCTTATAGTCACATTGTGGATTAAGGATTAGAATCAGCTGTAAGGGACCCGCGGACTAACTCTTAGAAGGGATGATCCCCCAGGCAGCTTCAATATGTTCAGGGGGACGGGTTGGGGGTGACCAAGGCAAAGACGAATGACCCCTAATTCCAGAAGCCAGGACCTTGAGACTCCCTGAATGTTATGATTGGAAGGAATTTAAGATCATTGGTTTGACCACTACTTCATTCAACAGGTATCAACATTGCGTTTGGCCAAATTCACAGAGACAGAGGGCAGAAAGGAGCTCTGGCAGGAGCCAGGGAGAGCAGAGTCTTTGGTTCTTGGGCATGGAGGTTCATCTGAGAGACATGAAGAGGGTTAGAAAAAGTGATGGCTGCCCAACAATGTGACTGGACTTCATGCCACTGAACTGCACATTTGAAAATGGCAGGTGTTGTGCATATTTTAGAACCATTTTCAGAAAGAAAGAAAGTTAAGCTTAGAGCTGAAGCCAAGAATGCAAAGACCAGGTGTTTCCCACAGGCTGTGAGCACCCCATGAGGATTCCTGGTTGTCCCCAAAGTCTCTCCAGGCCCTGCCCTGGGGCTCCTTGGAGGCAGGCTGCCCATGCCCTTTTGCTTATCTAGGGGAGCGGTTTTCCTTTGTATCACTCAGGGGACAAGGGGGCATAAGAGTGAGAACAACGCCCTATGAGCCATTTCCCAAAATAGTCAGTGCTGAAGTACTGCCAGTTAGAAGATGGTGCAGAGGAGAGGAAGGGATGTGACCTCAGGCCCTGCTCTGCACCCACCAGGCCCATTGATCCGTCTGCCCGGCCACCCACCCTGGGTCTGTGTTTTGGGAGTCAGCCCCTGCCACACACACAAATTGTTTCTGGGTTTTTCCTGCCAGTCAACCCTGAGTGATCGTGCCAGGGTTCCTAGAGAGCAAGAAAGACCCTTGGCCTTCCAACAAGAAGCAGCATCTGTGTGGCACAATTAGGATGGAGGGAGCGCAGAGGGTCTCCCACAATGATTAGCTTGTAGAATGATTCTCAAAAGTAAGTTCTCCAAACCAACAGCACTAGTCACGGGCGAAAACTGTGTGAGAAATGCAAATTCTCCAAAGCAAGGAAGATGACCAGTGAGAAGCATGTATCCAGTTGGTTTGGCAACACAGAGAAGAAATGGGAAGAATTGGAAGAGTACCACCCCGGGCCAGGCTCCACTGGGTTCACTGCCTGCTGTGTCACTGGCTGTGGGACAAGGACACATTACTTAACCGTTAGGCCCACCTCCCCCATCTGTAGAGCAGGAATGATAATCAGGCCCCATCAACTCTAGGCTTGAGGAGGAAGTGAGGGTTCCGAGGTCTCACGCACAGGGGTGCTCAATAAATGTTGCCTGTCACTATGAAAGGCGAAAGGGACGCTCCAAACCTGAAGGGAATTGGGGTACAGAGAGAAAAATCAACATGAAACCGAAGAGAGAGGCAGAGATGGAGCCGTACCAGGAGCAAGGAGCTGCTGAAGAATCTGGAGAATGATAAAGATTTGGAGGTGCCAGGAGAAAGGGTTGTTCTTCATAGGCTCTGGGGGAAGGGTAAGTAGAGGAATGTTAAGGATGAKCGTGGGAGGAGCCCAACGTGGGTGGATTATCAGCGACTGAAGGATCTGGCCCCCTGGATGATCATCTGGCTTCCCCCGAGGCAGACAGGGATCCCTGTTTGGGGGTGGGGAGTAGAGAAAAGGGGATTACAGAGTAGATAGTTTCACTAAGGGAGTCCCGGAGAACTGAGGAAAGACATCCTCAAACCTGTCCTTTAGCAAATCAATAGGAGGAAGAGGAACGAAAAGGAATCAGATGTGGCCTGTGTTCTTTTCTCCTTGAGCAATGGCCGAAGGGGAATACTCAGAGACAGGAAACCCCTTGGACCCGAGCCTTCTGGGAGAAGTTGGGGGCACAGCGTTAGGCAGCTGCAGGCCCCAAGGACTACAGCCCAGGTAAGACTCAGGGCTCTCTCTACCCTCAGCCCCTGGGCAGGTTACAGACCTGCCAGGTTAGAGAACAGGCTGCAGAGGACCCAGCCCTCACTGCCCTGCTTCTCCCCAGGCCTGGGAGTCCAGAGACTAGTCCTGTTCTGGGCAAGGTACTGCACTCTGTCGGGCCCGAGTTCCTCCAGCAACTTTGGCAATTTTAAAGTAAAACTGAATGATGCTCACCCTACGAGGGGGTCACACACTGACTGCTTGGAATAATGAACGCCACAGCCCCAGATCCCATTTCACCCTGCTTTCTCACTCAATACACCGCTGTTCAGAAGTGGAAGAATCCGAGTCTCTGGGGGCTGAGACTTCTTGGCGGAAGTCACACACMTGGTAAGTGCAGCACCAGGACAGGGGCTCCCTGTCTCCTCCCCACCTCGAGACCCTACAAGAGCTGGCTTCTTACAATGCCCCTGTCTCCAGCCTAAGAAGTCAGTTTGCAACAGCCCAGGACTGAGTAATCTAGAACCAGCCGTGGGATCCCCACGAGGACCTGCTGGAACAGCTGGCTGCCTTAGGAGATCAGAAGAGGGCACTTCAAAATAGGCCATTTTGGCTTCTTTTGAGCTAGAGGTAAATGAACATCGACAGATGCCAAAAGGAGTCTCCTCGGGGCTTCCTTATTTGATTAAAAGTAATAACTTCTGAGACTGGAGGATTTCCTCCCAGGGACATTTCAGGGCCATGAAGATGGAGAGTTGGTGCCAAGATGAACCTACACCAGCAAATCTTACTCCATTAATTTTCCCCAGATATTTACCTTTCCATTTGCTCCCCTTGGAAGCCTCAAGCCCCTCATCCTTTGTTTTGTCACTACTTTATAAATTTATTGTTCTTTGTTAAGATGCTATAGAGACCCCAAGTTCTAACCACTCCTTTTGACTCCTGGAAGGGCTGGTTCTTAGAGACTTGCTTGTTGTGTGACCTTGAACAAATATCTTAACCTCTCTATGCTTCAATATCCTCATCTGCAAAATGGGATTTGTTGTGAGGGTGGAAAGATATGATGGAATAGGCCACTTAGTACATGGAGTAAGTGCTCAACTATGAGCTTTTGAAATAACTGAAGCAACTGAAATTGAATACTTCAGCATTGACCCAAGAGAGTGAGCAATCCCCAAAGACATTAGGAAACTGATGAGGCATTTTATACAATTGACCAATGGGTTCAACCTTGAACCTTAGCTCTGACTTTTCTGTTCCACTGAACAAATATAGAAAACAACCCAAAGGCACCAACAGGGCTGGGGATGTAACTCAATGGTACAGCTTTTATTTCTGAATTTATATTTTGCTAGCTCTGAATATGTTTAAATAGGCACTTGAACCAAAAATTCCCCAGCAAAGGTTTTCAAAAAGTGTTAAGTCCCACAAGTGGCTAAGTTCCTGCTCTATTCATGAATATACTTTTTATTTTAAACAAAGATGCATTAAAGAGTAATCACTCTGAGATAAAAAGTAGGCTCATCAGGTCATTGAATAGTTCCTTTAAAGACAGTGTTTCTTGCCAGGTGCTGTGGCCCATGCCTATAATCCCAGCAGCTTGGGAGATTGAGGAAGGAGGATCACAAGTTCAAAGCCAGCATCAGCAACTTAGTGAGACCCTGTCTTTAAATAAAATATAAAAGGGGCTGGGGCTATGGCTCAGTGGTTAAGAACCCCTGGGTTCAGTCCTGGGAAAGAAAGAAAGAAAGAAAGAAAGGAAGGAAGGAAGGAAGGAAGGAAGGAAGGAAGGAAGGAAGGAAGGAAGGAAGGAGAGAGAGAGAAAGGGGGAGAGGGGGAGAGAGAGAGAGAGAAAGGGGGGAGAGGGGGTGGAGRGRGGGGGAGAGAGAGAGAGAGAGAGAGAGAGAGAGAGAGAGAGAGCGCTTCTCAAATGTGGGCAGCATCAGAAACCCCTGAGAGCTTGAGTTCAGATTCCGGAGAATCTGATTCAGTGGATGTGGGTCTGACCGAGATCACTGCTGCTGCTGGTGGTTCATGAACCACTCTGAGTAGCACTTTTTACAGGTRTTCTTCAGCTATTAAGGACTCCATTTCAAAGAATTCACTTACATAAATGTCTACTGTACAAAGCAAGAGATTCAGAGGTAGATGTTTATACCTTTTGTACCTCTATGGTCCCCCCCGCCCAGTGCTGGGGACTGAATCCAGGGCCTGTACAGGCTGGGCAAATGCTCTACCATCGAGTTACATCCCCAGCCCTGTTTGTGTCTTTAGGTTGCTGACTTCCTTTCAGAATTTAAAAGTACTCTTTGTGGATTCCATTTCATCAGAATTGAATACAATAATTCTATAAAAAACACAATTTTGGGGTGCTTCCCCAGCTTCCCCAATTTCAACTGTGTTCTTCAGAGAGAAGCGGGCAGTGAGGGGGCTGACTTGAGGCTTGGCACAAAGGAAAGGAAGTGGAAGCAGATTCATAAGCCCACCCTAGCCCCAGAGCCACCACTAGGGCATCTTCAAAGCACAGCTCTTGATTCTGCCTAAGGCCTTGGGTAGCCCTGGCCCCAGTCCCATGAGGGAGCAAGGGAGGCTCACTGGCCTCACCATACATACACGGTATGTAGGCTGTGCAGCGTGGCCTCTCTCGGGTAGTAAGCGCTTGCTGACAACAGACACAGCAAAAGCAGCAGTGGGTGGAGGGGAGACAGAAACCCTGGTGCAGGAGGTGACGCCCTTTGTACCTTCTTTGCTTCCTCTTTCCCCTCCCCACTCCCAAGGCCCCATCTGTGACTCCAGCCCCCCCMCACACACCAAGGAGAACCAGGGGCCCCTCACTCACTGGGGTTGGCTTTCCGGATCTCACTGTACACCGTCTCTGTCCCCTTCGTTCCCAGAGCTGAAAAAGGGACCAGGCACAAGTCAGTAGCTGCCTCCGGGTCCCAGGCCAGCCCACAGCTATACCATCCCCCACCCCAGCAGTACCCACAGCCAAGCATTGAGACTTTGTCATTCCTCRACTTCAGAAGGTCCCAGCCTAACCAGGGTCACTCTTGGGCTGAAGTAGGAGGTCAGCAGGCCATTGTGAGGCAGGGCCACCTGTGCAGAGGAACCTTGAGCCTGAGGGGCCAATGGGAGGGGATCCACACAGGCCTGCAGCCCCAGCTCAGCAGCCCTTCCCCCTTTCCCTGAAGCCGCAACTCTGTGCCAACTKCTCTGCCCCATCCCCCCAGAGCCCAGAGCAGAACCAGGTGCTGAGTTCTGGGGTGGAGACTGGCATTTTTGGTGACTATGAGAATTAGCTGGACCAAAGACCGCTTACAGTTCTAGGTGACTGGGTGGCTGCTTTCAGTGCCAGCACCTGGGCCCCCGCAGTCTCGCTGACGGGCCTGGGGTGGGCCCTGGCACTGGTGTTAGTAGGAGTCCCCAGGGGATTCTAATGTGCAACTGGGGCTGAGATCCTCCGGGTTAGATCCTTTCAGAATAGAGGACAAGATGACCAACCTGGGTGTGGAGCAAACCAGACAGGTACAGAGAAACACGTACACGCACCCCAYGTCCACACGCACTCATCCTCTGTGTGTAGACACACATGGTTGCACCCTGAAGCAGGCACACACAGACTGTGTACATACAGGCATGCACACCATGTGTACACCCTCACACACCATATCCACACCCAGGCACACCCAAGAACCCTAAAGAAACAAGATGGATCCTGGCCACTTCCCTAGCTCCTCTTTGCTCAAAAAACCAGGAAGTCTCATTGTAGAAAGGAGGCCCCCAGGCAGAGTAAGATGCTTCTTGCCATCACAGTGTCGCGGGGACATTTCTCTCCTAAGGGCACACCAGGGTCTATAACTGCATTGGGATACCCTCTACGCCCCATGCTCCAAGGACAGCCTTCTCCCGTCCTTACCCCACTCACATCCAAGCTGACACTGTCCTTCCTCTCTGTCCTTTCCTCCAAGACTCTGGCCCAGCTTTGCCCCTGTATTCCTGCATGCACCTCACACACCCTCACACACCCCTTTGCTCCTACCCTAGTCAACTACCTGGGCCCCTGTGCTCCCACTACACTTTGGGGACATTTACCTATACACATTGACTCTGTTCCCATTGACTCCTCTGGCAGGCCCTGAGCTCCTCCAGGCCAGTGGCTGAGGTCCTGAGTACTTTCCATTCCCAGGCCTTGCACAGTCACCTGGGGGCACCTGTCATAGTTTGATATGACAGTGCAAGTGCTAGCCAATATCCTGCAGGTGTCTCTACCTCAGAACCCCTGAGCTTCAGGCAGGTCTTGGCATAATCAGCCCCGTCTCTCAGGTTTTCCATCTATCAGCTAGAACATGCTGCCAGAGGAATCTGGGCTTCTTTGGGGATGAGTTAGGACTGAAATCTCTTTCACTGGACACTGAGTACTTATGGTTCCTGAGTGAAGGACTGCATGCCGGGGAGGAGTCTGGGGGTGCCCCAACCCCCACAGCCAAAGTTGGGGCATCTGGGGTGACAAAAGCCTTGTTGAAGACTCAGAGTGATTCCCCTCAGGCAGAGGTTGGAGCTCGGTGGAGTGGCAGAGGTACCAGGCTTCTCACTGCAGGATGCCTGCTTCAGGAGAACTCAGGAGGCACAGCAGAGATGCCCACACAACGCTCCACTCTAGTTTGGTGATATAGAGGGAAGTTSTAGGACCCCAAATCTGCTAGCCAATTCTCCACATCCCCAAGGGACCCTCTGTTCAATGTCAGGCCCCGGGGGAGTCACCCATTCAACATAACCTAGGCGCTCTGTGTGCCCAGAACCGTGGAGGGAGGCAAGGGGGTCAGATCTGGTCTCAGCTTTCAGCAGTTCCAGGATGTGGAGCAGGCAGGTGGGCACAGGGTGCTCATGAGCCTAACGCTGTGATAAATGCCACAGGGTGCTGTGCATGGGGGTCACTGCCAGCTCACCTCTGACCCAGATCCACAGTGGAGTTAGGGGAGAAGGGCACGGCGAGGGGTAGAGTTGGTGGCCAAGCCGGGGAGCTTGGACACCCTGAGAACTCCACTGTCCTGGAGCAGAAAGACATGGCCAGGAGACTTCTCTGATCATCCTGGGGACACACTTTGTGGACCTGAGTTACTGTACTTCACTCCCTCCCCGTCATCTCATAGCTCAGGGCAGCAGGGCCGTTTCTATTTCTAGGCAGAGCTGCACCCCGGCCTCTACTGCTGCCTGCCTACCTAGTTCTGCCCAGCTCAGCAAAGGGTGGGGTGCAGCTGATCACTGGCTCCCCTTCTCTTGCAGCCCTATGGCAGCAGCTGCCCGCTAATGACTAAACCAGGTTAGCAGGGTGTTTGTCTCTGCTGTCAGCAATGTTTCCGGAGAGGGCTTTATTTTGGCTTCTGTTTTTCTATGTTAACGGAGGCAGAGAAGGCTCAACGTCATGGGGTTTTCCCAGCAGACGGCCCCAGAGCAAACAGGCAGCAAACCAGGATTTAACGAGTTCCTTCCCGCCCCTCCTCCAYCCCCTGTGACCACTTGGTCAGCAGCCAGCAAGGATTAGAGCTGGACAAGGTCCTCATCCCATCCTCTATAGTTGGAGGAGGGGAGGCCTGAAGAAAGGGGGACTGAATTGGCCAAGACCAGGTCAAGTTCACTTATCACTTGTCTTGAACCCACAAAGCCCTCGCCTAGTAGTGCCCACTCCCACCTATGGGAAGGCAGGGGCTGACACTGGAGGCTCAAGCCTGGCTTTCCCACTACCCCTTAGCTTCAAGGAGAGGCTGGGACAAGAGAACTCAATTTGAGTCCTCTGGAATCTCCCCATTGCCACCCAAGTGACCCTCATGCCAGCTCTACACAGGGCCCACACTATGCACGTTTGTGCAAGTTTGGAAAGGCAACAAGTTGGTTTGGCTGCAACCCATAGCTGTACCACTTGGCAGGGAACATCCAAGGCAATCACCTGCCTCACCCCATCATGGAAATCTCCATAGCCGTTCCCAAAGGAATGGCAAAAGGACATTTTCCAAGGACAGAACACAGCTTCCTTTTTCCTTTCAGCTTCCTTACACTCAAAGCCTCCCAGGCACCCTGGGGCCCTCATAGTCCCACGCACCTTGGCCCAGTAAGCTGTGAAGCAGAGGCAGGACCTGGCCCTCCATGGGAGGATCTGAAGCCTGGTGCCCCGGGTAGCAGGGGAGCATCACTGTTTACTGCAGACAGAAAATGTGCAGTAACTCCCTCACCCCGTCCTCTGGCTTCACTGCCGACTGGAGCACTCAGTGGAGTGTGGAGGGTCACGAACCAAGAGGAGAGCAGTGTTTTTCCACTTATGTTCAAAATCTTTGAGCAGCGCTGCCCTCTTGTTATCCATTCCCTTTCCTTCCGAGTCTGACATCCTCTTAGGAGGAAGTAAGCTGTCACTCACGGGGCCAAGCCCAGGATGCAGAGCAATGGAGCTGGCGCACCAAGCTCAGGCTGGTGGGACACCTTCCACAGTCCCACCCTTCCCAGCCCAAGTGGGGTCCCTCCTGAGCACCAGACCCTGTGCTCTCTCCTCCTGGGTATCTCTAGGGCATGTCAAACTCCACCAGCTGAATCAGATGTCGATAGGAGCTAGTTCCTCCCAACCTCGGCCATCACAACCGTGCCTGCAGCTGCTCCATCCAAGAACATGCAGTGATTCTAGTCTCTCCTGTCCTGGCCACTAAATTGTCATCACATGCTATGATCTATCTCCAAAATATATCGAGAGTCCATTCATTGCCAACGTTTTGGTCCCACCCTAGGCTCCAAGCCTGCCCCACTTTCTATGTTGGCCATGAGGATCTTCCAGAAGGACAGTGGAACCTGACACTTCCCTACCTAAAGCTTCCAAAGGCTCCTTAATCCTTTTAGAATAAGAGCAAAGAAAACCCCAGAGGTCCTGCATGCTCCAGCCCCAACTCCATCCTCCCCAGCTTCATTCACCTCATCTGTCCTGTCTATCTGTCCCTCTCTGCAGACACACAGGCCTCCTTACAGATATTAAAGGAGCCAAGCTCTGCATTGCCACACTGCCCTGCCTATTTCCTGGGTCTTCCAACCCTCCCTCTTTGGGGGATCACCTTCTTTGCCTCTTTCAGGACCCAGCTTAAATGTCAGCCCTCAACGAGTGTCCCCTTTTACGCCTTCTCTGCACCCGGTTTTGCTCTTTTCCGCACTTAGGACCATCTGATAGGATCTGTTGCTACGCTTCCCTGTTTTCCTGGCTGCCCCTGAGGAGACCCTCCCTGAGGAGGAGGCTGGCTGTGCCTTTGCTTCTTGCACAGCAGCTGGGCCCTCGTGGGTCTCATCTCTGCTCAATAAGTAAATCACTTTACAAGAAAACGAAAAAGAGGAGGAAATCAAGGCTGCGGTGTCCCTCCCTCCTCTTGGGTCCATTTGGGACTTGGAAGTGGGATACTTGTCGCTGGTGCAGACCCTGAGCAGTCCACAGCTCTGAGGACTAGTCTGATGGAATACCACGGGAAAGGGGCCCAGAGTACAGCACGTAGCCCCGGGACTGCACGGGACAGCTTTCTCAGAAATGTTCTATGCACACACCCATCGGCACAGTGCCCAAACCATGCTAAACAAGAAAGTTAGGAAGGACTCCAAAACTCCTCCCAGAGCCAGGGATGGCTTCAGGACGTGGCCAAAACCACATGGCTCTGGCTCATGACAGGCAGACCCAGCCTGGAAAACTGCCCAGGCTCGCCTGGCCGAGAACAGCCTGTCTGTAGCCTGCGCAGGAAGGGAGACGGATGGCAAGGGTCCTAAGGAGCACCCCAGCAGGGCCGGAAGGTTCTTGATGGCTGTTTCCTTCGAGCACGCAAGAACCTAGAGGGAGCTGAGGAGCGGGAGGACTAGGAGAAGCATGGTTTTCGATTGGTGCCAAAAGAAACTAAGATTGATGTTCTGGCATTTGCTGTGGACTGGCCCACTTTCCGTCCGTCTCCCAGCACTGAACCAGAGATGGGGACTTCCAGGTGGCCTGCCCAAGACAGAATACTATGCACATTTTCACTTCATTGGCACATTACTTTTATTTAAGCTGAGGCATAAATCCAATGCCACCATTCCCACGGGATGGGATTCTGTGCTTTCAAAAGCGACCCTCTAAAGAGCAAATCCCAGACCTTAACAAGTGCGATGATTGACACATGTTCAGTCTGCATAGGAACATACTGCTTGTGGGCAAGGGGCCACTTCTGGGAGAAATTGAACATCTCAAAGTGAGGCTGCTCTCAAGGTCCCTTCCAGAGGAACAACTTGCTTGGCCCTCAGTCATCTCCTGGCACATGCGTAGTGAACCCTCAACATGTGTTACCATTATTCATAGCTTCATAACTAACAGTTATTAAATATTTACAGCTCCTGCCTTGGCACATCCTGTAGATCTGCTGACCATCTTCTTTCAGAGAGATGCTTCTCAATGAGCACAGCACCCCCAACGTGGTGCCTATACCCAAATCAAGAGCAAAGCATGGGCTTGGCTCACTGGGGGGTGGGGCTTACCTTGATGGGGCTCCACTGGGGTCACTTCCACCTCTGTATACTCCACGTCTGAGCTCAGAGAGTCTGTTCAAAGGAACCACAGCACCCTTTAGACAGCATCTCCCTTGGGGGTATCGGGCTACCTTAGAGATTTTTATCCCAATTATTAAAGTTTTCTGAATGTGCAGGGGAGCAGCTAGATGCAGGTGGAGCTCCATTCTAAGTGGACAAGAAACCTCAGACTAGGAAGGCAGGRGGAGCCCGCCACTGGCCTGGGACTCCCCGTTCATTTGGATGTGGATGGATCCTGTGGCAGAGGTCCAGGTGAGTGGGCTTATAACAGGTCAGAGGATACAGAAAATAGCTCAAGATCAGCCATGACAATGAACTGCCATTCAGGCTCCCTCCAAACACCTGACCCTTCCATGCTGCGATGCTTTCTATGCCATCCYCAGCATGCAGGAAAGGACCTCGGGAGCAGGCTCACCAGCCCCAAGAGGCTTTGAGTGTCTGAGGCAGACAAGGTAATGAAATCTCTCTGGGTGCTACCAGAAATCTGGGAAATTGGTGTGTTTTCAACTCAGAATATTTTTATTATGTTTTTTTTTTAAGGCTTAAAGAATCAGGAATTCTCACCAGCAACTACACAATGATCCTRTAGTCAAGGATACTTTACAAAAACAGGGTTTTACAGAATTCTTTTATATCTTTAGGAGTTTTAACTCCCATGATTGCAGCCTAGATGGAAAGGAACTTGATGAAAGATGATTTAGTCTGACTTCACTGAGTTTTAGGCAGAAGCACACTATCTATTGTTGATCATCTTGAAAAATCTCCAAGTTGTCCAGGCATGGTGGACAACTGTAATCCTAGAAACTTGGGAGGCTGAGGCAGGAAGATCACAAGTTCAAGGACAAAGTTGCCTCAGCAACTCACTAAGACCCTGTTTTAAAATAAAATTAAATTAAAAAACAAATAAATAAATAGACAAACAAACAAACAAATAAATAGCTGGGGATATAACTCAGTGGTAAAAGCCGCTCGTGGGTTCAGTCCTCAGTATCAAAAAAAAAAAAAAAGAATATCCAAGTCAACTATCCAAGAGGAAGGACATCCTGCTTCCTTATTTGATAGTTCCCTCTGAATCTGGACATTGCTTTTTAGGTAGGACCCATTCACCCTTAAGTTGGTTATCACTAAGGACATTAGGTAGCATCTTTAAAGGAAACACTTAATCATCTCCATCTTACACACCAGTTAGTCACAGAGTCATCACGAGGGCTGGGAGGTTATCTAGTCACCTTCAAGTTTTAGTTTTCTTTTCCTGTGGGTCTTTTTTTTTTTTTTTTTCCTTAGGGAGGAGTTACTGAACTCAGGGGCACTCAACCACTGAGTCACATCCCCAGCTCTATTTTGTACTTTATTGAGAGACAGGATCTCACTGAGTTGCTTAGYGCCTTGCTTTTGCTGAGGCTGGCTTTGAACTCATGATCCTCCTGCCTCAGCTTCCCGAGCCACTGGGATCACAGGCATGCGCCACGGTGCCCAGCTACCTATGTTTTTTTTTTTTTTAATGTGAAAGTTTCTAATAAAACTCTTAGATAATTACCTTTATTTTCATTTAGTGGTTTCATTGCATGGTTTCCAACATCATCGCCATAACCTAATTAAAAAATAACCATTAGTTAGGATGAGTGATAATGGAAATTCTCATTTTCTATAATTTTTAAAAAATTCAATACCACTCACATAGTCAAGCATGACTTCTTTAGTGGTGTAAGTGACTAAGAGTCATGTCTCTGGGTCTCCTCCTTGGTCTCCCTGTGGGCCCCAAGACCTGCTAGGTGGTCTTCTCCTAACACCAGTGGAACCCCTACCATCAAAGGGTGAGAGGCATGGGTGGGGGAGGGGCACTTTTGTTGGGAATTCAAAATTGTGAAATGTGAGCAAATAGCTTGATTTCTAGACTATTCCCTTTCTTGAAGGGACCAGTCAGTAACGACAAACATGAAGGAGACTGGTTAAATAATCCTCTCTGGTTGGAGATTGGATTGATATCACCTTAGTGGGTATAGATTAAAAAACAAATAAACAAACAAACAAAAACCTTTGGGGTAGGGATATAGCTCAGTGGTAGAGTGGTGGAGCATGCCTAGCATGCATGAGGCACTGGGTTCAATTCTYAGCACCACATGTAAATAAATAAAAGGTCCATCAACAACTAAAAAAAAATATTTAAAAAAGATAATTCTTACAAATGTTATAAATACTATTCTTGAATAACACATGATTTTCTATCATGTATTTGAAATAATTGATATTATAATTATTAAAATAATAAAATCCATGAAGAGACAAGAGAATAAGAACAAGAGAACACAGCAAGAGAATGTAAGAAATGGAGTATTTCCTACATTTTGAAAAATTAGAAGAAAATCCTGTATTTTAATATAACTATATCAACATAAAGCACTGCTGTATTTAGTGGCAATGATATAATATACCAACAGAGCCCCCCTTATACCAAAAAGGTATTATTTTCTCTATAGCAGTAGATTACTTTGTTCAAAATATTCAGTACATTTTTTGAAAACAGTTTCTCTGTTCTTTTTTCTTTTTTCCAGTTCTAGGGATTGAACCCAGGGCCTTGTGCACGCTAGACAAGCACTCTACCACTGACTACATCTTCCCCCCACCACTGTTGTTCAAATTTTATTTTGAGATAGGGTCTCACTAAGTTGCCCAGGCTGGCCTCAAACTTGTGATCTTCCTGCCTCAGCCTCCTGAGTCACTGGGATTTCAGGCATGTGCCTCTACACCTGACTTCTTTTGCTTTCCTTTTTTTCTGTAATGCCGAGGATGGAACCCAGGGCCCCGCCCATGCTAAGTGAGCATCTATCACTGAGCTACACCACCAGCCCCCGACTCAATTCTTTTTATTTTATTTTATATTGAGACAGGGTCTTGCTAAGTTGCCTAGGTCCTCGTTAAATTGCTCAGGTTGGTCTTGAACTTGCCATCCTCCCTTCAACCTCTCGATTCGCTAGGATGTACAAGCATGCACCACCATACCTGGGCCCCTGCTCAATTCTTAAAACATATCTCCCTATATATCTTAGAAACACCTTATTTGGGGCTGGGGCTGGGGCTCAGTGGTAGAGCACTTGCCTAGCATGCATGAGGCACTGGGTTCGATCCTCAGCACCACATAAAAATAAACAAATAAAATAAAGGCATTCTGTCCATCTACAACTACAAAAAAATAAAGAAAAGAAATACCTTATTTTGTGAGACATTGTTACAGAATTGAAAGAAATACCTTATTTTGTGAGACATTGTTACAGAATTGAAAGAAATACCTTATTTTGTGAAACATTATTACAGAATTGGAAAAGAACATAGGCATTCTATTTCCAAAACTGCTGATAAAGAAAGAGAATTGTTCCAAAAATGATTTGGGACAGGACTTTTGTGGGACATAATTATAGCCCAATGGGGGTTGCTAAATTGCTTGGGCAACTTTTTCACAGATGTAACAGGATTAAGAACTGCTGGAACTGTCCACCCACACTGTTGGCGCAGACCTGTAAGCTTGGGATAAACCTCAAAACAAGTATCTTGTGCTTGTAGTAATTCCACCTGAGAAGAGGTTTTATCCGGGCTCTAATCTGCTCTCTGGTCCCTGCCTTACACGTGCAGGCTGTTTCTCATGGGTAGTATTCAAAGTATCTGAAGGCTACAAGGCATTAGCGTTTTCTCCAGGTTTCATTCAACAGGAAGTTTAGAAGGTGGTGAAAATAGAATAAAATGTTCTGTCTTCTTTCCTTTAAAGTTTTTGTTTTGCTTATTAGCTCACCGTCTAATGCCTGATTAGATAAGTACCCCTACTGGAAGCCAGGGTTTCCCTTCTAATTCTAACCCCACCCTCTTTAGTTGGTAAAACTCTTGGCAACTGAAGGAAACCAGGACTTTACCATAATGGCTGTTGGCTTCGATATTGGGATCCAACACCTTCTCATTGTTGGAGTTCAGAAGTGGCACTGCTGGCCTTAAAATTAAAGTTGAAAAGGAGGGAAAAAAAACATAGAATTATTTTTAAATATAATGAAATACAGTCTAAACATAATATATTATATATATAAATAAATATATCATTATATATATATAGATAGATAGATAGATAGATATAGATATATACACACATATACATTTTTCCCCCCTCTCTAACCCCAAATTAACAAAATCGGTAAAGGAAGATCACAAGAAAGCAGAAGGAGCTTTCCAAAGGAAAGAAAGTTTCACTCTTCCATTTGGAAAACTAACAAGTTCTTTAGCTCTAAATGATTGACTGAACTTTTTGCTGTTAAACTAAGAGACAGGGCCAAGGAGTTCTTTATCTGATGCCCTTAGTTTCATGAATGCATTCCTGTGCTGGTTTCTCTCCATAACACAGCAATAATTTCTATAGCCTTGGATTTTGGTTTTCAAGAATGATAAAAGTAAAATAATATTTTTTAAAGGCCAATTCTATTTTGCCAAGTAAATAAAAAATTTAAATGCTCCTCTATTACCATTATAATTTGGTATGGAAAAGAGGATTTCACAAATAATAGTCTAAGAAGGACATGATCTCAGAATAAGACCATTCTCTCCCATGGAAGGACAGATGGCAGTCTTCTACAAAGACACACACACACACACAAACACACACACACACACACACACACACACACACACACACAACTCTTCCTTTTTCTGATTTTGCCAAGAACCACTGAAAACCTCCTAATGACCAGACTCTCCCTACAGAAAAGTCCACCCATGCCCACAAAAACAGGTACGCCCTCTTACAAGGACACTGACCTGGACATCTCCACGGGCATCTGCTTGGCTTTAAAAAAGGAAAGAGAAAAACCAAAGTCAGGGTAAGGTGCCTGTATCCACAGCAGATAGTAATAGTCATTTCAGTGACATTTGACTTGCATACCCATTAAAAAAAGAGAAAGAAAATAAAGTTAAGTACATTCACACTTTTCAGAGAGATAGAGAAGAGAAAGAAGGAGTTGTTCTCCTGGTCAAAGAGATTTCACATCCACTTTCCAGATAAACCACATTGTGACTCTCTGAGCCAGATGTGATTTTTGCTGGTGAGATGTRATGGAGATGGAGGCAATGGTACAGGGGGCAGATAAATCAGATAACTGGGCAGCTGTTTCTTTGGTTCAAGACAATCTCAAAAAGTAAAGGCTAAATCAATCCCTGTGTTTTTAATTACAAGCTGGCSGAAGACCAAGGCCAGCGGCAGACTTGGGAATGGTTTGTCTGGGAGCCTGTCTCTTCCCAGGGAATTATAGTTTTCCTGCCTGAGAAAAAACACACGGTCCCGCTCATCCCAACGGCCCCCGCTCATCCCAGGCACCAGCACCAGAGTCTCCCCCAAAGAACCCAACCTTACCCTATGAAAAAATTTCTTTGCAGAAATCATTGATTCTGTGCCCTTTTCCTTGAGTCTGGGCTAGCTGAGTGCCAGCAGGTGTTCCTGGCTCCCCACCCATGCCTGGCCCCCAAGCACAGGGTAGAAATCATGGCGCAACCGGCAGATTATTTGGGAAGCTTTCAGGGCGTGTGTGTCCTTGACACTCTACCAGTTAGAGAACTGGAAGTGGCCAAACCCCAYAGAAACAGCTTCTCTGACCACATGAAGACGCAACTTCCCTCCACGTTCCCTCGTTCCCTCCTGGGCCCGCCCAAGGAGGAAAGCAGCCCCTTTCATTTTGCCTAGCTACATCCAGGGGCGACAGAAGCCCCACACCCACCAAGGTTGTCAAGGTGAAAACCCCAAGGAGAAAAACCAGGTGCACCTCCCCAGCTCCCTCTAGGGCACTGTACATCCGAGCTACGTTCTCAGCCAGGACAACCTGTCATAAATAATGGAAGGAAGCAACTGTGCTCACCCTTGGCTTTCTTCAGAAAATAGCATTTGGCCCCAACTATCAAGGTGGTGATGATCACTCCAATGACGACAACTGCAATGAGTCCTTTCTTCCATGCAGCAAGAAAGACTGGAAATGGAGGGGAAAWGAAAGAAAGAAAGAAAGAAGAAAGTTCTTCCTGGGTCAGCAGGAAATGATATCAGGTTAAATCATCAAATGGAGACTGATTCTTACAATCCTTACAACTGGTATCTTTCCTTAGCATCTACCTCTGAGGGATGCTGAACTCAATAGTTGGTGGGGAACTTGCTGCTTCTGCTATCATCCAAAGCCAGCTATGATCTTCAAGGAGGGGTCAAACTGAGCGTGCTGGGGTAGACCCCATTTTGGGGTGTCTGATCAGCTCTCCTCCTGCTTTAGGAAACCACCCTCACCCCTATAGGTGGACTCCCCAGCCATGTCCATTCTGCATGACCCCATCCCCTTGGCCACAGGGATCCTGTGGGCAAATATTTGACCCAAAGTGAGTTATTTAAGAGTCTTTTTGCCAAGAATTTGGAATTGGGACCTTCATGAAATACTCCTGATTTCTTATAGCACCCAACTCCTCTTTTTTACCCAAGTTAATTTGAAGGGGTTTCTGTCACTTATAGACACAGAGCTTGAGGACGTTGTTCTCTTGACCCTCAGTCACCTGAGCTGACCTCCCACCTACTCCCTCTTACAAGGGGGATGATCTGTGTCCTTGCCCCTTGGAGCCCACACGTACCCGCTGTGGAGATCCCGACTCACCTCGGACTGCCAGGGTGTTGCTCTGGGGGCTGCTTTGCTGCGGGCTGGCTCTGTTGGAAGCCGTGCAGTAGTACTGTCCCTCTTGCTCCTTGCTAACCTTTGTCTTGCGCCAATGTGCATTGGTTTCATTCGTGACTACTTGATAGAAGGGTTTGTCCTCCATTTCTTTGTAAAACTTATATGTGATCGGACCCGTCCCTTCAGCCACTGAGCATAGAAGCACAATCTCCTCCCCAGACTCCACCTCCTGACTCGCCAGGATAGAAAGGCTGACCTTATTCACCGGGGCTGGAAAGCAGGAAAAGGATTAGGACTGAGTGAAGAAGGGGGACAGAGAAGGAACCTAAAGTGACCACAGCCCATGGCCAGCCTCCCTCCCAGACTGTGACTTGAACTTGGCTTGTGCTTTTCATTTAAGTTGCTCCTCTCATCCCACCTTTTTCATGGTCCTGTCCCTGATTAGCCTAGAAGGGCAGTAATGGACACCTCCTGTCCTCACTAACGGATTAAAGGTAAGACACTAGGGGACACCTCCATTCACTCACCAATTTGCGCATTATTGACTAGTCGGCTCAACTATCAAGCTAACTTGTATGTTCTATTGGGTGTGTGTGTGCGTGTGTGTTTGTGTGTGTGTGTGTGTGTGTTTGCAAGATGAAAAGACTGGAGATGGACAGCGGTGATGGCTAGCCAACAATGGAAATGTGCTTCATGCCACCAAACTCTACGCTAAAAAGTGGCTAAGAGGGTAAATTCACAAGTGTGCATATTTTATCACAACTTAAAAAACAAAAGCAAAGGATGAAGCAGATCATAAAGTGGTTGGGAAACTCCCAGTTAAGACTCCAAAGACACCCCCAGGTAAGCATGAAAAGCACCCACGAATCAATTTCAGCTTTCAGGGGTAGGAAACCAAGATGGCAGCACCACCACCCATCAGCTCTTTGCTCTGAGCCTTAGTTGCTGCATCGTAAAACAAGAATACCACTCCTACTACTCTCTGGTGATTGTGGGTCTTAATTAGAATAATTCACTACAATACTTCACACAGGGTTAGATGTATGGTCAGAGCTCAGTAAATGTTAGCCACTAATATTGACCCAAATTAACCAATGAATTCACATGGGGTTCAGCATTTGCCTTTTCATGTATCCTGAGACCTGAAAACCCCACTTCTTCTCAATAATACAGCCACTAGGTTAATCTTCACAAGAACCCATTCTTACCATGTCCTTCTTCCCTCTTCTGGCTCTTTTTTGCAAGGTTAATGCATGCATAATATGCAGTTAATAAGCCATGTTAATGATATCACGCAGCCATTAAACAAAAGGGGACAAAGGACAGAGAAGACGATGCCTTATTAAACTTCTTACAACTGGATGCAGAATATCTAAAAAGTGCAAGCAATGGTGCTCCTAAGTCTTCTATGAGGCACAAGATAGAGATTTAAGGAAAAATACCCATCCCTAAGACGATGGTATATTTCTCTTGAGTATGAGAATTCCAGGTACATATTAGCAATTCCCAGGAGATCACACCTRTAGCTCTGATTGCTACAGGTTCTACACATGACAGAATTGCTCCACCAGGGTCCACTACAGAGAAGAGCTCTGGCCTATGATTCTCAGGGATAGTTCTCAGTTCAACTGAAAAAGAGCAAGAGTTAAGGAAACCCAAACACACAACTTCAGGCTTCCTCAAGTCCTGCATATGCTATTCTAGCCATTCACTTGAAAGGTCTGAAAAGAGATTGCACTGGCTGCATCATATTTTCCTGACCCATGACTGGGGTTTGCTTTAATGTATATTGGGTTTATGGATTTCACACAAATATCACCCATTTCTCTTCTTGTCCCCACAATCCCTGGGCAACTCCAAACCCTCCAAAGGTGACCAAAGACCCCAACCCGACATGATTTCTTTTTATAATACAGCAACTTACCTATCACCTTCACCCTCAGAACCTCACTGACCATTCCAGGGAGGGAATGGCAGTTATCTGTGGCACACTGGTAATCTACATCCTGGGTTGGTTTGTCTTCGAATACTGCAGGATCCTTGGAGAGCTTYGTCTGTACTTCTAACTCATGAGTGGCTTTCAAAAGGCGATAAGAAATAGGTGACGTTCCATTGATCGAATGGCAGCTGATTCTTATGGTCTGTCCTTTTATGATCTCAGACTTGGCATCATGAAAAATCCTGGGCTTGGAGAGCTTTTCTAGAACAACAGAGGGAAATTGTGCAAATGGGACTGAAGCAATGAATCCAACCCAAGACGCTGCTTCTTCAAACTCTGGGTTTTTCTCTCTCTGTCACCATGGTAATTTCAAATGCCTGCCTGCTTACTGATTTTTAAGGGACTTCTAGAAGACAAGACTGTCATGCAGAGCGTGTGTGTGTGTGTGTGTGTGTGTTAATAAGGGAGAGGGAAAAAGAAGGGCCCTAGTCAAACTAAAGAATGATACAAATTCAAGGAAATCATTATAGCCTCATAAGTGCATGTTTATATTTTAAAACTTCTTACATGCACACATACACAGTATGTTTCTGTGTGTTCAGCAAAGATACAGAAAAGTATGGAAAGCACCCAAACAGAATACCTTTTGAAACCAACTCTTTTCAGTGCCTCAGCCATTCCTGATATGTAAATTACCTGCCTCAAGAGATAAGAATTCTTCTAGGTCAATTTTTGAAGTTAGCTTATTGATAAACCTTATGAGATGAAATCACCGGTGACCTCCTCCCAAGAGCAGCAATGATAAAAAAAAAAAAAAGGTAAAATATAATGACCCACATTCATCTCTTGCATTCTTTCCTTTGAGTTGGATTTAGAGACTTGGAAACAGGCTGGTTCAATTGTGACTAAAATCTCAGCTGGATAAGCCACAGCCACCAATGAAACTGTAGCACGGTGATTGAGTAACAGCTTGATGGGGGTTTCGTATTCACATCATGGTCCAGGGCTCAGCAGCATCAGCATCACCAATGCACTAGCTGGATGGGTAGCATCTGGCCCCCTCCTGACCTACTGTTTTAACCGGATCTCGGATACACATTTAAGTGCCAGAAGCCCGGCTCTATTGTCCGCCCATTGGAAGTCCTGCCCCTTCTGATTAGCTGGGATAAGGATAAATTCTGGAACTTAGATCTTAGTATTTAGTGCTGACTCAGCAGTGTTTCCTCCCTGGCCTTTCAAGTGACCGCCTGCACCAGCAGCCAGAATCTTGTCAATTCTGAGGCCACACCATCAGCGTGAAGGCACAATAAAGTCTTGAACTTGATCCTGGCAGACAAACGACAATTTCCTTATATTGCCTCTCACATGGACTCTGGGCAGGAACACCCTCCTGCTCTGTGTGGACTCTCGATTTCCCACCTCTTTCCTTCCAATTCTTGCCCTGCCTAAGTCTGATCTGCCTTCAGACCCGAGAGTCCTGCAGTGGGGGATCCGCTCCCTTCCTCCCACTCTCGGGGCTGGCGAGGACCCACTCACCACACACGGTGATCTGGACTGTGTTGCTTTCCTTGACGACTTTGCCGATGCCTGCGGTGCAGGTGTACCTGCCACTGTCCCACTCAAAGGCGATCTTGGTGAAGTTCTGGTCCTGCGACACAATCACTCCGTCCCTCTGGATGGTGAAGTTGGCTAGAGGTGCTCCTGGGACGGAGCATGACAAGCTCAACATCTCACCTTGGTCTAGACGGATGGAGTTAGATTCCAGCTTCGGCTTGGAAAACAGTTCTGAAAAACAGCCAGGAGGAAGGAGACGGTGTGTCTGGGTTCCTGCCCCTGGAAGGGGCAGTGTGGCCCTGGCAGAACCAACTCCATCTTCCTGCAGAAGGTCTTTGCTTCTCATTTACCTGATGAGCACACTTTTAAAGGGTTAGACTTATTCTGGGCCTGGGTCTCCAGGACAGGCTCTCCTCACCTGCTGATCCACTGATTTCACAGACATAGAGAAGAGAAGGGTTGCAATTTGTAATGTGGCAATTACTGATGCATGGATTTACCGAATTCTTTGTTTATTCACACAGTTCATTCCACAAGAACTTATTGCAGGCAATCTCTGGGACAGGCACCTTGCTAGGCACTGGGGAGACAGCAGTGCACAAAGAACAATTATTGACTTGAAAGCATTTACATCTAGTGGGTAGTTCTGACAAGGTGTTGACAGCAGAGCCTGCAGAAGGGACACTGAACTTCACCTTGGGAAATCAGGGAATGGTCTCTGGGAGAAAGTTATCCAGGGAAAGTGTCCTAGGCAGCATGTGTGAGTCCATTAAGACTATAACAAACTGCCACAGACTGGTCTGTCTGGGTCCATGTGGTCCTCAAAGGCACAACCTGGTCTCGGGCAGCTTCTATTCCCAATAACTTGCCCAGAATACAGAAGGAGCTCGATATACGTTGACTCAATACTTTTCTCTAATGAGATAATATAAATCCTATCAGTGAAAAATGTCATGAGCCATCAAATTTCCTGTCACTCTCAATAATTCACTAAATTTCCAGCAGACACTAGAATTCCAGACGGCTGCTGTAACCTATATGCCACTCACCCAGATGAGTAGCTGGTGGCCTCCGACCTATGACACTGGGGACTGTGGCTGTGCCTGGACACTCAGTGGAGGGCTTAATGAAAGAGTGAARGAACAGAGACAAGCATGAATGGACACTTCTGCTGAGGGACCAAGAAGAGYCTATCCTCTCTGTTTCTGTTAAATAACAATTGTATCGAATTCCTACTATGGCCAGGTGCTGTTCCAGGTGTTAAGGAAATAGCATTGGCTAGGGATGTAGCTCAGTGGTAGGATGCTTGACTAGTATGCATGAGGCCCTGGCTTCAATCCCCAGCACCACCAAAAAAAAAAAATTTAAAGATAAAAATATTAAATAAAATGGATAATTGGTTCTGCTCTCAGCAGCTTACATTCTAATGGCTGAATACATCCAATAAACAAGAGAAACAGAGTATATATGTATATATTTTTAGTAAAAAGTATTTTAGAGAAAAATGAAGCCAGGTGAGGGGGTAGGAATCAGAGGGAACTTTCAAGTACACAGGTTTGGAAATCAAACAGTCTGGGGGTGACTCTTATTCTGCCACCTGGTGACCCTTCTAATCCTTAGGTGAGTTACTAATCTCCCAGTCTCGGTTTTCATATCCATAAAGTGGTATCAAAATAACTATCATGTAGAATTGTTTCAAGCACTAAATAAAAACATGTATAAACCTATCACAGTGTTCTACAATGGGAAATTATTACTATTCTTTTTTTCCTGACCTATTGTAGGAACTACTGGGGATGTAACATAGTGCTTGGCACAGAAGAAAGATAAATGCAGTATGATCATAGATACATAGTAAATATTCTTTGAGTGCTTATTCTGTACAATGCATTGTGCTAACACTTAAGAGCATAGYTGGGCTGGGGATGTGGCTCAAGCRGTAGTATTGGCATGCACAGGGTGCTGGGTTCRATCCTCAGCACCACATAAAAATAAAAAAKATGTTGTGTCCACCGAAAACTAAAAAATAAATATTAAAAAATTCTCTCTCTCTCTCTMWMWAAAAAAAAARAGAGCATACTTATTTAATCACTATAATAGTCCTATAAGGTGAGCGCTATCACCTCCATCTCTCAGAGTGAGGTAAAGTCAATAACTCACCCAAGGACACAGAAGTAGTGAGTGGCAGGGTTGGGGTCTGTCGTGAGAACCTGAGTACTCAACCAACACAGCAGACTGCCGACTCTCTGTGTGTTGGCTTTCCCCCACCAGCACCAAAGGCCAGCTGAGCACATTCATTCAGAGGAGAAGGGGCAGGAAGAGTCTCCATTCTTACTGGCCATCCTGGATGGCAGCACACTTGCTTCCTGAGCCCGCCATTTGCAAACACTCTCCTGCAGCAGCAGCCCTACCTGTTATGTTGACCACGATGCTGCTGACCTTGGAAATGCGGCTGGACTCCACTTTGCAGGTGTAGTTGCCGTTGTGCTCCACCATGGCCATTTCTGAGTAGACCGCCTCGGGGTTCTTTCTGTTGGTGTTGGTGGCCACGATCGCCTTGTCCTTCTGGATGATGATTTCCGGCATTTCATGGGCCAGGTGTGTCACTTGAATCGTGCACTTAATGTAGAGCTGTTCTCCTTCTGTGATCATTCCAGAGGGGCTGATGTGGAATTTGGGGATAGAGAAGGACTCTACAAGAACAGTGGACAAGCCGGTCAGACTCGGGTTCAATCCAGCACTTCCTACTCTTTTGCTTTCTGCTGCTCCTGTTTTTCCCACTGTTTCTCAACTGATTTTTTTTTTAATTATACATGGACACAATATCTTAATTTTGTTTATTTATTTATTTTACGTGGTGCTGAGGATCGAACCCAGGGTCTCACAGGTGCGAAGGCGAGCGCTCTACCGCTGAGCCACAATCCCAGGCCTCTCAACTGATTTTTAAARACTGATTTTAAAAACTCAACCTTGGGGCTGTGGCTCAGCGGTAGAGCGCTCGCCGAGCACGTGCAAGGCCCAGGTTCGATTCTCAGCACCACATAAAAATAAGTAAATAAAACAAAGTTATTGTCCAACTGCAACTTAAAAAAAAAAAAAGTAACTCAACCTTTCCTCTCAATTCCTTCGTCTGGGTTGCTGATGCCCCTTTCCCTCTCACTTGTGTGCACCGCTAGCTATGATGCTCTGATTTTCTTGAGCTTCCCAAAGGCCAAATGCCTTCTCTAGGTCTTGTCTACAGAAACAACTGTAGCAGGTAGAAATAGACTCTGCCCCCCAGCCCACCACAGATTTTTGTGGCTATTCTCATACCATTTTAAGAACCTCCATATTTCAGCATGAATATTTTATAGCTTTCAAAAGTGGCAGCTATGCAGACTGTACTGCCCCCTAGAAATACATTATTTAATATTCCCCCCAAAAGTGACTTCTAGTCTATTCTATTTAATTTTTCTTTTTTTGTTGGGGGGGGGCTATTGAGGATTGAACTCAGGGACACTCAACCACTGAGCCACCTCCCCAGCCCTATTTTGAATTTTATTTAGAGACAGAGTTGCTTAGCACCTTGCTTTTGCTGCGGCTGGCTATTCTATTTAATTTGTTAAAACACTGGCTATGGTTCACCCAATTGACTTCATAACTCACACAGTGAAAAACACTGTATTAATAAAATCTCAGATACCAGGATGTGGTATCTTCAAGGAAGTAGGGCTGTCCTCAGCCCTGGTTCCCAGGTATACCCCCAAAACAAACTCACAGCATATACTATACTATACACTTCATTTATCTAACTCTGTAAGATAAAATGCTAACAGCAAATTTGGAGTGATATAACATTCAGTTTTTTTTCACTACAGCCACTTAAATTTGTAATAAAACCGTGATAAAAAAAAATAGCCTCCTTTTCCAAGCAAAAATTTAAAAAGGGTAGGCGTCTTGTAGAACATTCAACTTTATGGCTCTCTGGGGATGTTGTTATTTGCAGAGTTTCTCTGACAAACAGCTAACTTTTTTTTTTCATTTATGATTTATTTATTTTGTGGTACTGGGCATTGAGCTATATCCCCAGTCTTTTCTGTTTTTTATTTAGACACAGGATCTCACTAAGTTGCCCAAGCTGGCCTTGGACTTGTGATCCTCCTGGCTCAGCCTCTTAAGGTGCTGGTATCATAGGTATGTGCCATCACACTTGGCCTAATTCCTTTAATTTATAAAGGGCTAAAATAAATCATTAAGAAACAATAAAATGGGCAAAGTGTATGGAGAAGCCSTTTATGGGGGAAATATGCTAGACTCATGAACATAAAGAACATAACTCAACCTCACTAAAAAAAATACATATTGGCTAGAGATGTAGCCCAGTGGTAGAGCACATATCTAGCATGCATAAGGTGCCAGCTTCTTCCCAATGCCCTTCCTGCTGTCTGACTCTCAAAGGCTCAAAGCAGTGGCAGGTACACATTGCATCAGTGTAGGGAGACATGGCCAGTATTTTAAAAAATGGAAATAGAACAGAAAACATCAAAGTTCATCATGTATCTTAAAGATAAATATTATCTATGAAACTTTTGTTTAGGAAACAGACACATATAATTTCATACATATGAACTGGGTCACGGTCAAAAAGCTTGAAAAATACTAAGTGATTGAGATCAGGTTCGGTCCTGAGAACAGCAGCCCAGACAGAAGGACCAACCCCTTCCCAGTTCTGGGCTCGCTCTCGCTCTCGCGCTCTCTCTCTCTCTCTCTCTCTCTCTCTCTCTCTCTCTCTCTCTCTCTCCACCCAACCACAAACCGCAAAGAATAAGGAGAGCAGGACTCTGACCCCTCACGGTGACCAGTTCACTCCTGACGCGCTCTGAGACCTCAAAGTCCATCCCAGATAAGATCTTAGCTTGACAGCGGAATACTAAAATCAGGTCCTGCTCCTCAACCGGGAATTCCAAGGTCACAAAATTCTGATTCTGAGAATTCTTCTCTTTTTTTTGCTTGACAAGTGGTGAATGTAGATCCAGTTTTTCAATGATGAAGCGTATTGGGGCCTTTTCTTCTGGGACAGAACAATTGACTGTCACAAGCCCGCCTTGTATGGCCTCCTTCTTGTCCAGTGTCACTCTGGGATCGGGCACTCCTTTGGAGAAAGAGAAAGTCCAGTTAGCACCAGTTGAACCTCATGTCACAAGCCTCCCTCAGGAGATCAAAAGAGATATCAGGACTGGGACCCTGGGTCGGGGGTGGGTGGCCAATTTTGTATGTCACAGTGACCGACCCATCTGAGGGTTCTCCCCCTGCCCCAGACACCCAGCGCTACCTCCCAGGTAGTTAGCTTGTATGTGCCTGGCACAGTGCCAGGTACCTTGAAAAACAAACATGCCCTGGATGTGGTTGCTGTTTTCAATGGCTCATAGTCCCCTTGGGAAGGTGGTACAATCCAATTCCCAACTGATACAGTATAAAGAGAAAAAAAGACAGCCAGCGTATATTAGTGTTACTCTGGTTGTTGTTGTAATTTATTGAACACCAACCACAGGTGAGAGTTGCCTTGAATTTACTTGATAAATATTTACTGAGTACATACCATGAGCCAGATTCTTTAGGATATAAAAATTGGCCAAATACTCTCACAATTTCACAGAGAAGCAGAGATCTGTTTGAGAAAGTCACGTGTTGTTCAGTCCAGGGCTGTATTCCGATAAATGCACTGTTAAGTGATTTCATCACATARATGCAGCGTGTATCTACCCAAACTCAGATGGCTGTGGCAAAACTAGGTGGCATTACCTCTGGGACCACCGTCACCTGTACAGTCCATCATTGACGGAAACATTTATACAGGACGTGACTGTGTTGCAATAGAACATGGGCTGGAAATCATGGTCAGCACTCCACCGCTGTCAGACTTTATTTTTCCACAGTAACAGGGTGGAACCCAGCAAGCACTCTACTCCTGAGCTATGTCCCCAGGCCTTCATATTTTATTTTGAGACAGGGTCTTTCTAAATAGCTCAGTCTGGCCTTTACTTGTGATCCTCCTGCCTCAGACTCCCAAGTACGTAGGATCACAGGTGTGCACCACTGTGCCCAGGTACACGATCCTTCTAAGGTTCTCAGTAACTCCGTGAGCTGGGCATCATCTTCATTTTAATAATGAGGACTTTGACCTTTAGAGTGGTTAAAGGACTTGCCCAGATGGAAACCCAGGCAGAAAGACTGTAGAATCCAGTGTCTTAACACAAACCTGTGGCCTGTGTGTGTGTGTGTGTGTGTGTGTGTGTGTGTGTGGTGCTGGGGATTGAACCCAGGGCCTTGTGCATGCGAGGCAAGCACTCTACCAACTGAGCTATACCCCCAGCCCAAACCTATGGTCTTTCTATCAACAAATCCCCTTAACTACGGAAAGATCATAAGAGATATCAGGACTGGGCCCCTGGGAGGGGGATGGTCAATTTTGTATGGAAAAGTCATGTTTTCTYGAGACGAGATGAAGGAAAGGAATTTCTGGGGGAGGGATTCTCAAAATAAGAAAATAAATAAGTGTGTGGGGGGGCACGACTCAATGTTAGAATGGTTGCAAAAAAAGAAAATAAAAGAAAGCAGAGCCAGGCCTCATGCCTACATTTTCAGGTGAAGAAAATGCTGGCAGATGAGAGAAAAGGTGGCGGACGGACAGGTCAGCCAGTGGTACTCTCCATTCACAATTGCTCTTCAGGCCGCTGCGTGGGTGACACTCATTTGCTGCCTACCTTCAAACCCTCGGACTCACCTTTCACGGAGACCTGGTACTCCTTCGTGGTTTTCTCCTTTTTGTTCAGGACCACAGTACATTTGTACGTCCCGGAGTCGTACACCCGGGCTGCGGGGATGAAGAGGCTCTCCGTGTTCTCCACAGAGGAGACGTTATGGAGCAACACGTCGTCCTTGTAGAACAGCATCAGGTGCTGGGGCCTGACCTGCAAGGTGCTGCTGATGTCCACCACGCACTTCAGGGTCAGGTTCTGCCCGTTTTTCACAGTCCAGTCGGGCAGGCTCTCCATCTGGATGGTGTTGATGGTGAAAGCTAAATGCAAATACAGGCGGGGTGTGGGGGGCAGAGAAGCCTGTTAGCTCAGAACCACCCTGTCCTGGGGACCTCCACCCTGTCAGACRTGGCATCATCACATCCCATGAGGTATAGTGTCCTGGGATCCCAAATGCCTATGGGACCAAGCAATAATGACTCTGGGTAGTGGGCCAAAGAGGATGCTGTTGATACTAAGTTGCTCCTATTCCTACCAAGAGAAGGTGGCAGAGAGTGACAGAGAGCAAAGATGCATGCAGCTTGTAAACTGCCACATGGTGGTCCCAGGAGGAATAGATGTCTAAGCCCTGGCTCGTCATTTAGTGTGTGACCTTGGGCAGCTAACCTCTCTGAGCTCAGTTCCTTATCTCTAAAATAATAATACCCCATGAGGTTGTTAGAACAGATTTACCAGAGAGCACCCAGCTCAGTGCCTGGCACATACATGTGCTTAATAAATGGCAGCTGCCGGGCATTATGGTGCACACCCAATAATCCCAGCGTCTTGGGAGGCTGAGGCAGGAAGATGGCAAGTTCAAAGCCAGCCTTAGCAAAAGTGAGGTGCTAGGCAACTCAGTGAGACCCTGTCTCTAAATAAAATACAAAATAGGGCTGGAGATATGGCTCAGTGGCCGAGCGCTCCCGAGTTCATTCCCCTGTACCCAAAATAATAAAATTAAATAAATAAATAATTGGCTGCTACCTCTAATCTGAAGCCACAGTCACACTCAGGAACTCTCCTCCTCCACTCAGGCCTAATCCAATTAATGCAGTCCCAGCCATCATTTCTTATTTATTTATTTGTTTGCTTTTTTGGGGGGCGGGGGCAGGTTCTGGGGATTGAACCTAGGAAAACTTAACCACTAAACTACATACATCCCAAGCACTTATTATTATTATTATTATTTTATCTTGAGAGGGGACTTTGTTAAATTTCCAGGCTGGCCTTGAACTTGCAGTCCTTCTGCTTCAGTCTCCTGAGTCTATCCCTGGGATGACAGGGACATACCACTAGAAAATACCTGGCCATTTTCTTTCTTTTTAAAACATTTTAAAATTTAAGAACTTCATGAACAAGTGCTTGCAATTTGTTGACTCTGGAAAGAGTCAAGTGGTGAACTTTTATTACAAGTTAAAAATGAAGTTCTTAACAATTTAGAAACATTTAAAGTGTAKTGAAGCTGGGGGTACAGTTCATATGTGTTTAGCATCTGCAAAAACCAGCACCGACAAACAAAAAAGAAAAAAAAAAAAGTAAATGGAGAAAAACCAGGTGTTAAAAAAAAAAAAAAAGTTTGTTATTTCCCAAAACAGATGTCTTTAGGTTAAAGTAATAAGACCCCCATGCTTCAGCCAGCTGGTATTTCCTATGTAGTGGCTTAAAGGTGTCACCAGATCTTAAAGATTGAAAACCACTTGTGAAGCAACCACTTATACCCCCCATGTCAGCCACTCAGAAGCAAAGAGCACAGGTCAGGCACCCAGAGCACAAGCTGCACTCAACCAACTAATCACTACCTGCCAGAAACCAGGCTCTGCAGCTCCACTTGCCAAATGTGTCATTTCTGGCTGAGGTTCTCCAGTGCTAAATTGCCCTCTATCCAGCCACCAGAGATGGGGCCCTAATACAATCAAATATATGTCCTTGTAGGAGGAAATCTGGACACAGAGAGATCTGAGGCATATGCACATGCATAATACACACACACACACACACACACACACACACACACACGACCATGTGAAGACAGAGGGAGAAGGTGGCCATCCCCAGGTCAAGGAGAGGCCTCAGAAGACCAAACCTGTCAATATGTTGATCTTGGACTTCTAGCCTCCAGAACTGAGAGAAAATAAATTTCTGTTGTTTAAGCCATCTAGTCTTTAATTTTTTTTTTTTTTTAAGATAGACTCTTGCTGTTTGCCTAATCTGATCTCAAACTCCTGGGCTCAAGTGAGCCTCCCATGTCAGCCTCCCAAAAGCTGGAACTACAGGTGCACATAGCACCCAGCTGACTGTGATGTTTTTTATGGCATCCTGAGCAGACTAATACAGATGCTGTTAAGAAATTGCCTTAGGGAGCTGGGTGCAGTGTCTGCCATCCCAGCAACTCAGGGGGCTGAGGCAGAAGGATGGCTGAGGCCAGACTCAGCAAATGAGATCCTGTCTCAAAATAAAAACTAAAAAGGTCTGGGGTCAAAGCTCAGTGGTAAAGCACCTCTGATCCCTAGTACTAAAATAATAATGATAATAATAATAATAATAATAATAATAATAATAATAATAGCAAGAGAAGAAGAGATTGCATTATGGAGGTCTGGGGCATGGCTCAGGCGTAGAGCACTTGCCTAGCATATTTGAGGACCTGGGTTCAATTTCCAGCATTACATACACGCAAAAGTTTAATGGAACCTGAGAGTCTGGAATGTCCCCCRAATGTCATCTGCACTACCGCAGGGGTTCTATCAACTCCAGGCAAAGCTGTGTTGCTGCTGAGCAAGGGGCTCCTTTCCATCTTGTGGATTCTGGGATTTCCCTAATGGAAATCCTTTTTTGCTTTGGCTGCTAAAAGGTACAAAGGCAAAATTCTACCTCTGCTTCTGGCAATCTTTGTGATGCATTTTGGTGTGGCCACCTGTACTTTCCTCTCATTCTGATTCCCCCCTGGATCCCATCTTGCTGAACCTAAGTTACATAGTGGTTCCAAATCATTTTTGGCTAAGCTGGCCAGAAATACCACCAAACCCCGCTTTCCCTCTCTTTTAACAAAGTAAAGTCTTCTTTAAGCAATTTGAAATTTAATTTGCCTATAACATGTTTCAGATTTTTCAATGAGTACAAGAGTCTATAACTAACCCTTTTTTTTTCCCCTGAAAATAGATTTAACCAAAAACGGCATTGGAGTGGTCCATGAGATGAAATGAGGTAAGCATTTAAATTCAAGTCATTTCCTACAGCAAATCTTCAGAAATCCCTTTCTCTGCAACTTCTTTGCTGGGCAAGCTCTCAACACTGAAGTTTTCTTTAGAGCATATTTATTTTCCCCCAACTAATACAGTCCCCACCCAAGTAGATCTCCTTCCCTTACCTCTCAGCACCTCCTCCTTCATGTTAAGCCAAGTTGTTTAATTTAGTGGTTTTCCCCGGGGGGGGGGGAAATAGCAGAAGTCAAGTGCATCAAGCCAGACTACCTGGACCAAATTCTCCTTCTGCTATTAACAAGCTGTTTGACCTTTGGCAAGTTACTAAACTTCTCTGAGCCTCAGTTTGCTTATCCACACAATGGGTGTAAGAAGTGTTAAGTAAGAATCTGGAGTTTAAGTACTAGAAGCACATTTCCTGGTACTTGTGAAGTGTTTGAGAAATGTTAGCTGGGTTCTATCAGTCACAGAAATAAAAACTTCCAGGGATGGTGGCACATGCCTGTAATCCCAGAGACCTGGGAGGCTGAGGCAAGAGGATCACAAGTTCAAAGCCAGCCTCAGCAATTTAGCAAGCCCCTAAGCAACTTAATGGGGCCTTATCTCAAAATTAAAAATAATACAAAGGGCTGGGGATGTGGCTTAGTGGTTAAGCACCTCTGGGTTCAATCCCTGGTACCAAAAAATAAAAAATAAAAACCATTTTAGGAGCTTTACAGCTCTCTCTCCTGTCCATGTTTCTAGATAATCGTTCCACATAAAAACCCCTTTTACGTTTTTATTTTTAATTTGGGGGGTAATTGATAGTGACTCTCTATTCTCCCAGCTTTGCTCAGCCCACTGTGGGGTGACTTCACCTGGGACCTGGCTACTTAACTGTTCCTGTTCTGAATGAGCTGCCCACCCCCGGCCGGTCAGGCCCCAGGCACTGGGCATGTCTGAGTTCTGGCCCTGAGCCCACAGCCCTTTGCTGGGTGGTCTTTGGAGTTATTTGACCTCTCTGGGCCACTGCTTGTCCTGTAAAAATGAGAATGTGATGCCTGCCTTCCCGGCTACTTTCTCTCTCTTCTCTGTCTTTGTGGTGCTGGGGATGGAACCCAGGGCCTCACCTGTGCTAGGCAAGCGCTTTTCCATGAGCTGCCCCCTGGCCCTCTGGTGTTTTTCATCTTGACCATCTGAGCCAAGATGGCTGAGGGCACTGGACGGGCTGTGCTTTCAATTCCTGGCCCTGGTTGACATTCCCTTCCTTCCTTCTGAGCATCATTCATAGCAAATATTTCAGGAGGCTTCTCTGTGCCAGCGCTGTCCCCTACCAGGAGGAGAGTGGCCTGGCAATTTCTGCCCTCCGGGACTCAGTCTACATTCACAACTCTTCTGCTCCGGACCCTCCAGGCTCAGCACTCCCCACCCCGTCTTCCTGCTGGCCAGACCTAATTCATTTCCTCTGTACACAAACCCTACCACTTAACAGGCGGAAGCTCAGAGCAGCGGCTTTCTTAGTGGGGTCAGTATCCACAAGCACTGGATACTCTCGCCAGCCTGCTTTTCTAAGTAACTCTCTGAAGCCTTTCTGTTTAAATAAATGAACTCCACGTTCATTCTCCTGGTGGGAGAACCAGAGTGCTGTGGCCAGTCAGAACAGACAAGGGAGACGGGGCAGGGGGTGGGCAGCGTGGAAAAGTAAAAGCTCTTTTTTTGGTACCAGACATTGAACCCAGAGATGCTTAACCACTGAGCCTCATTCCCAGCCCTTTTTATATTTTATTTAGAGACAGGGTCTCGCTGAGTTGCTTAGGGACTCACTAAGTTGCTGAGGCTGGCTTTGAACTCACGATCCTCCTGCCTCAGCCTCCTGAGCCGCTGGGTTCACAGGCATGTACCACCACGCCCACCAGGAAAAGTATTTTTTTAAATTCATCAAGATGAGTCCCGGCTCCACCAGGGAGGCTGAGACAGGAGGATTGTACGTGGGAGGCCAGCCTGGGCAAATTACTGAGACTCTGTCTCAAAATGAAAAAGCTGGAAATGTAGCTCAGTGGTAGAGCTACAGGGGTTCAACCCCAGGGATGAAAAAAAATAAACATTAAAAATGTTAAATTTGGGGCTGGGGATGTGGCTCAAGTGGTAGAGCGCTCGCCTAGCATGCGTGCGTCCTGGGTTCGATCCTCAGCACCACATACAAAGATGTTGTGTCMGCYGAAAACTAAAATAAATAAATAAATATTTTTWAAAAAATGTTAAATTTAACACAAACATCATTTGCTGATGAGCCTCACCCCTGCTTGTGGCCCCTTGGAGGTCACCTATCACATTCCACGAGGACTGGTCTGTGTGAGCAACATAATGCTCCAGATAGGCTGGGACCTCACTTCTGAGGTCAGGCTACAAAGACAACGCAGCTTCTGTCACAATTTCTCTCTCCTGGTCCAGCCTCTCTGGGCCAGGCCAGCTGCCGTGCCACGAGCAGCCCCATGGAGGGCCCACAGGAGGAGGGGCCGAGGCCTGTGTCAGGAGCCACACAGCGGAGCGTGKCAGATGCCCTGGCTGGTCTGACCTTCACCTGATAACCACAACCCTGACCCACTGCCATCTCCTGAGAACCCTGGGCCAGAACCTCCCAGCTAGGCTACCCCGGACTGGTGATCCCCTGAGACTGCTGAGGTCACATGTGTGTGTCACCTTTGGTCACTAAGTTTTGGGAGTAATTTGTTTAGCAGCAATAGATAACCAAGAAGCCACCCGGTCAATCTTGAACAATCTCAAATTCTTATTTCAATAATACAGGAAACACTATCTTCTTTGTAAATAAACTCTCCAAGCACAGCCAAACCGAAATAGTGTGTGTAGTAGGGAGTCCATGACCCATCCCCAATGGTATGAGAATGTGTGTTTTTCTGAAGAGGGGGTCCTCTTCTCACTGAACCCCAAAAGGTTCAGAACTGCTGTGGTGCGGGATGGGGTCACAGAGCAGTCTAAAGAGGTCAGATCTTTTCAACCTGGAGAGAGGGAGGTTGATGGAAAAGAATCCAAGTTGGCAGAGTTATCAAAAAAGCACAGATAGGGCACCCAGGAACCACAGTGCCAAGTCCCCAAACACCSAAACAATGGTGCCTACTTCCCTTGACCTCAAGGCCACCAGTCAGCGGATGCTGATGCTCCCTGGAAAGATAGAGCAGCGTGACTCAGGAGCCACCTGGCCCTCAACCTGGAAATGACTCAGAAAGAAGCGGGGGCAGGAGAAAGAGGGGCCCCCCGCTGTTGTCAGGAAAATTACAGAGTGCCACAAAGCCTCGCCTCCCCCAGGATCTTCTGGGCTCAGCAGAGAGCAAGCTGGCCCATCTTCCCACCTCAATCCTAAGCATCTCCAAGTGCAGTTCAAGTTCCCATCCATGAGACATGGATCAAGCACCTGTGCCAGGAATTAGGCTTCCAGGGAGAATAAGAAATCAGTGGTGCCACCCAGGGCTGGCAGACGGGTGGAGACCCCACTAGCTCAGCACTGTCAGTGACACTGAGAGGCCAAGGACAGTCTAAAGAAGTGCCCCTGGAGTGGGCCTGGCAGGCCATGGGCAGGCCGTGGGCGCTCCAGGAGAACAGCGTGTGTGCACAGGGCCCCGGGGCGTGAGAATCAGTGCACTGTGGGCACTGCAGCTCCAGGAAGCAGCGTGTGGGGCTGGAGGGGCCAGGGCAGCGGTGCCAGATTAAAAAGCCTGTTCTTCCACGTGGAAAAGCTGGGCTCTGACCTGGGGGTCTTCAGCTGGGGCGTGCCAGCTGAGAGCAGAGCTTTGGAAAGAGCACTGTGAGCCAAGACCAGAGGCTGGCGCAGCGCCCGACGGTTCAGGTGAACGCAAACGAGGCCAGAGCTGGGGCCGACGTGGGGCGCTCCAGGGGACTCAAAGGATTTGTTTTGCGGGCTGGCTGATGACGGGGTTCTAGAACAAAATAATGCCGAAGGTTGCCGACACCGTGAAAGTAATCCATGTTACTAATAATGCATTTTATATTATTCCTATTTTACCACAATTTTTAAAAGATCTGATGGGATATGGAAGTTGAAAAGGTAGAAGTTAAGGTTCCCAGATTATAGGGTTCCCAAKAGGATATGGGTGCCACCAATTAAAATAGAGAGCATCGAAAAAACGGTAAGGAAGGAAGATGAAGTCCCTCAGGTACAGCTGGGTCTGAGGGCCTGGAGGAGYGGGGAGAGGAGGACAAGACGACAGTTGCTGGCCCCAGGTTAAGTCTGAGGCTCAGGGAACAGGTCAGGGCTAGAAGAAGATCAGGGGGGCTTGTGGAAGAAGGGAGGACTGGGCTTCCCAAAGGACAAGATGTGGAGCCTGCAGAGGCCAGGGGGTGGGCTCAGACTCAGGGAAAGATCAAAATCCCGCCTGGGGAGAAGGAGGACAGTTCGTTAGAGGGAGGAGGAAAACCAGGGCAGAGGATCTAGAAGGTCAGAGAAGGAGGCTTTGGGACATGGTCGACCCGCAGAGAGTCCCAGTTCGGGAAAGGCTGGAGGTGTGCATTGCATTTGGCATCTGGTGGTCCTCGAAGACCCTTGGCAARGAGATTGCAGGCTGGGAGGAGTGGGCCCCAGGCCACATGGCTGTGCGTGTGGAGGGCCGGGAGGTGAGGAGGCAGAGCCAGTGCTTCTAAACCAGCCTCAAAGTGCCACTGAGAGGGCAGAGGGACCCAGGATGAATGGAGGGGCAGAGCTGTTTGTGTTTGAGAAACAGGACAAAACAAGAGTTCCCAGCTGGGTTTGTAGACTGTGAGAAGAGGCAGAATCAAGGACAAAGACGCAAGGACAAGGAATCAAGGACAGAGCATGGGTGGGAGGAGGCCAAAAATGGGTGTGGAGGGACCTCCAGGCAGGGAAGAGCCTGGGGCCCAGGTGAATGGCTGGCTCTGGTGACCAGAGGGTTGGATGTGTCCCCAGAAGCCAGGAGGGAAGGCGGAGGATGGGTGGGGAGGCAGATAAGCCAGCAGCCAGGGCCAGGCGGGAAGTCCAGGGAGTTCCCTCCAGACCGTTTTGCTAAGTGAAGACAAGCAAGGTCACCTCCTGAGGCAAGGGGAGGTGGGCTGTGGTTGGGGAGGGGCAGGAGGGGCACAGGAGGGCTGAGATGGGGGGAGGGAAGGACCAGGGCTGCAGAGTGGGGCCCACAGAGCACGCTGGCACATCCTGTGGGTCTCAGGTGGCCCAAGAAGTGGAGGCTGGTCACAGCCACGATGCTCTAACCCACGTGGTGACCTGCCAGGGCTCTGTGGCCACAGGGCCTTGATCCCTCCAGTGCAAAAACAAACCAGGCACCCGAGGAAGGGTGGGAGAGCCTCGGCTCCAAAGTCTTCCCTGAAGGCAGGAACATTCCCTAGGACCTCAGGGAGGAGGGGGTTGACCTCCAGGGAGGTGGGAAGGGGACCGAGAGTAGTGGTGCTGGAAACAGGATGTGTGGATGGAGAGAGGCAGGAGCCCAAGCCCTGGGGCATCTGCACGCCCTTGGGGTGTGGTCTGGACAGGAGCAGGCCTCTGTGGCTAGAGTGGCCAGAAGACAGCAGGTGAGACAGGAGGCCCGGCTACGAGGCAGGCTTGCACCTCTTGTCAGCATCATCATGTATCCATCTCTGTGTGCAAGGGGTTATCTCCACTGCCCCATCCCAGCCTCATGCCACTCCACGCCATACGCTGTCGCCATCCCCATTTCACAGATAGGGGGGAAAAGCTCCAAGAGGCAAAATAAAACTGATCCTAGAGACATGGGTCAGGCCTGTGGCTGTGGTCAGATAACTAGGTTTAGAGAGTGAGGGGTCCCAGAACTGACTGTCCACTGGCTCTTGACTGGACAAGTCAGTCATTTCTGAAGCTCAATGTCACCCTCACCCAAGGGGGATGATTTGAAGATGAGGGTTACCTTGTCTTTGTGGGCTACCACGGGGGCCGATGCCCAAGGAAGAACATGGACATGGAGTGGCCACACCAGCGCCCTCATCCTGGGACCCCCACCCCAGCTTTGGCTCAACCCAGCATTGTTCCCCTTCTTCATCTCCAAGCAGCTGCGTGACTTGCCAGCCCCCAGCCACCCCTGTTCTTTGCCAGCTGAAGTGATTTCTGACTAGGGGATTCTGTTTTGTGGACCGTCTCTCCATTCAGGGTCCCCAAACCCAGCTCATCCCCCTCCCTCAAGGCCAAGCAGAACAAAACCCATCCATCCAAGAGGAAAGTTCAAAATCAGCCGTAGAGCGGATGAAAAACCAGACAGAGCAAAGACGGGCGGCAGATGCTTCCCTGGGTAGAAGCACAAAATGTGGCAGATAAAAATCACAGCCTCAACGGGGCGGATGGAAAACAAGACCCGGTGTCTTTTTTTTGGAATCACTTAGGAGAAAGAGAATTATAATACCAATCTAAACAATGTTCTGTCTTCATGAGTCTGACAGATCAGTTGTATCCCATTTGTGAGTGAAAACAATTGAGAAAAAAAAAAAAGATTGAAAACTAAAAATAATCAGGGATGGGGGCAGGACAGGGAAATAAGCAATTTATGGTGGAATGAACTCCAGCAAATTATGGATTTGCTCACTACTCGATCACCTCCCAGTCCCGACCAAAAGCAGCCCCAGAAACACAGTAAACGGCTGCTTCTAAACCCCCCTGATCAGGCCTGGACGTAGAGCAAGTGCTTTGTTCTAAGCGCTTCTAAAAAGGACCAAATGGAATCCGCTTTAGTTCCCCACGGGTGTGTTTGTCTCAACTGCTATCCAAGCCAAGCAAGGGGACGCGAGTGTGAGAGCAAAGCTAAGTCAATGAATCTGTGACTTACAGTTCTCTGTACCATCAAGACTCCAACCTGGAAGAGACAGAAGAAATCTGTTGGTTTCAGGAGCTTCAATTCTCATGGAGTTTAAGCCAAGTGGGGAGAGAGAGGGAGAAACTCACAGAGCAGGAGCATCAGCAGGACTCCCAGCCGCATCTTGCCCCCTYGGGTCCACCCCAGCTGCATCCTGAGAGCCGGGAAGGTGAAGGCACAGTTAGTGCTGCCTCTGGGCCATGCCTCTGGGGCAGAAAACACTTCCCCCTTTGCCACCGATGACAAGCCGGTCCTGTGAAGAGCAGAAACCACTCTGGTAACTTCTGTGGCAGCTGCAGAGAGACGGGCTGTTCTCCTGGTCAGGTAATGGCGGCCATTGCTGGAAACCCAGAACAATGAGGCCTGGGCCGGCCTGATATCTCCTCAGGAAATGACTGGCCTTCCTGAGGGACCACGGAGTGCAGCCGCTTTGTTTAGGGGGAGAAAAAAAAAAAAGGCACCAGTGATATTTGCCTCCAGGTTCTCGACCCTCCCCGTCTCTCCTGGGTTTGGGGTCCCCCCTTCTGGTGGCAGGGTAAGGGATTCTTCCCTCGCTCCGGGTCTACCCTTGTCTCGTTGGACACCCAGCGAGGTCTCTGCTTTTCCTGTGACTTCCCCAAAGGGGCTCTTTTCACCCAGCATTAATCAGGTCTCTTGTCTTTCCTGGGCTAACTTTAAAAAAAGAAAAAAAAAAAATCAGTGTTTGTCAGAGAGAGCAGGGATCAGGGCAGCTGGGCTTGGAATTTAGGGAGCTAGGAAGGTCTCTCCAGCCCTCACAGTGGCTTTGGTGTGGAGGACACGGGCATCCCATGAGGTGCCCACAACTCCCAGAGGCCCCTCCAGCCGGCATCCCCAAACACACATACTGTACTGGGCCACAGGGAATCTCCCAAGATTTTAACCAGTTTCTTCCATTTCACCTGTGTCTGGCCTCCAGAAATAAAATCAGAATCTTTAAAAAAAAAATTTTTTTTTTCACTACTAGGATTGAAGCCAGAGGTCCTCTAGCCCTGAGTGACACTCCCAGCCCTTTTTATTTTACTTTGAGACAGGGTCTCACTAAGCTGCCTAGGCTGGCTTCAACCTGTGCTCCTCCTGCCTTGGCCTCCCTAGTCACTGGGATTATGCCACGCCCAGACTAAAGGTCAGTGGATGATCCTTCCTAATCCACCCCTTGCTGACCTCTCTGGCCTGAACTCTCCCCATCTCCTTCCTGGCTCTACGTTTTGGTGGATAAAATGCATGATTCCCACAATGCCTTGTGGGTCTCTGCTTTTGCCAGTGTCCTCGCCCTGCCTAGGGGCCCTCCCCCTCAGTGGTGGCTAACTGCCACACATCCTCCCTAACTCATTTTGGGCACCAAACCCCCCAGAAATAGCCTGTCTGGCCCAGACCACGCTGCCTCTCCGCGGTGCCCTCTCACCTCCCACGTCTTCCCCGTGTCCGACCCTGTCTGCAGCTGTCGGTGATAGCCCTCCTCCCCCAAATGGACCGCTGGCCCCTCAAGGGCAGGGACGATGCCTGGTACCCAGTGGATGATCCAGGAAGTTAGTCAGATGGACGACTGTCTAGATGAAGTTACTGTGTAGTCAGAACTGGATTCTCTCTCCTGGAGGGTGCCATGATCTTTCTGGAACATTGCCCTCTAGGACTTCCACGTGGTCAAGGAAGACTTGTCTTAACTGGGAACACAGGAGCCAGTTCCTGCCGCAGAGCGGGAACCAGACAGTACAGGCTTCCAGCTAGAAAACGATTCCCCTCTGATGGCTCAATGATGRTTTTGCCTTTTGTGGTCAGTGTTTTGGTGCTTGGGATTGAACCAGGGCCTCAAACGTGCTAGGCAAGTGGTCTACCCCTGAGCTGCATTCCCAGTCTCTCTTTAAATTTTTATTTTGAGATAGGGCCTGAGAAACTCATGTGACTCAATTTTTAAAAATAAATAAGTAACAGCAGCTTCTACCTCAAGGCCTGTCCTAAGGAAGGGGGCGTGACCCTGGTCCTGGGAAAAACCCACAGAGCGCTCCTGAGCACATTCCCACCCTGCTGAGTTGTTTGTCTGTAAATAACAGGAGAGGTTTGCAGCGCCAGGGGTCCCTAACCCAGTTAGGCTAGGTGAGGACCCCTAGCAACCCCCCTAACAACCCCCAATTAGCATGAGACAGGGAAAATACCTGGAATGCCAGATGACCCCCAAGTAGTTTATGGTGGTTGATAACATGTTGGGAAACCATGTCGTTTACCACGTACACCCCTCGTGGCCTAAGCCAATCAGTTCAGAAGAATCCCCCTCTTGTACTAACCAATCACCCCTACCCAACTTGTTCCCACCAGTGAATGTGCTAATCAATGTTAAGAGTTGTTGTTTGATTTTCCCGCGGTATGGAATGATTGCTGTGTGATGCTGTGACGCATAGAGTATCCGCCCAAAACCTATAAAACTTCACTGAACAAAGGACCAGGACTCACTCCCTGGGACTGCTGTGATGGTGTGAGTCCAGGCTCAAGCTTGCAATAAAGACTCTTGTGTGATTGCATCGGATTCGGCTCCTGGAGGTCTACTGGGATCCCACGAATCTGGCATAACAGGCCTTGCTAAGTTGCTGGACTTGAACTTGTGATCATCTGCCTCAGCCTCCCAAGTAACTGGGATTATAGGTGTGCACCACTATGCTGTCTTCAATGGAAGTTTTTTTTTTTCAATCTCTTCTTTTTAGATATACATGGAAGTAGAGTGTATTATTTTTTTTTATTTATTTATTTTAGAGAGAGAGTGAGTGAGTGAGAGAGAGAGAGAGAGAATTTTTTAATATTTATTTCTAGTTTTCAGCGGACACAACATCTTTGTTTGTATGTGGTGCTGTGGATCGAACCCGGGTCACACGCATGCCAGGCGAGCGCGATACCGCTTGAGCCACATCCCCAGCCCTAGAGTGTATTATATTATTATTATTATTATTATTATTAGGTTCTGGGGATTGAACCCAGGGCCTTGTACATGCAAGGCAAGCAGCTGAACTATATCCTTAACCCAGTAGAGTGCATTTTGACATATCATACATACATGGAGTATAACTTCCCGTTCTTGTAGTTATACATGATGTGGAATTACACTGGTTGTGTACTCATATATGAACATAAGAAAGTCATGTTCAATTCATTCTACTATCTTTCTTATTCCCACTCCCCTCCCTTCCCTTCATTCCCCTTTGTCTAATCCACTGAACTTCTATTCTTCTCMCCGCCCCCCACCCCCATGTGTGTTAACATCCACATATCAGAGAGAGCATTCGGCCTTTGGTTTTTTGGGATCAGCTCATTTCACTTAGCATAATAGTCTCCAGATTCCACATTTTCTTAATCTATTCTTCTGTTGAAGGACACTTAAGTTGGTTCCATAGCTTAGCTATTATAAATTGAGCCGCTGTAACATAGATGTGGCTGTAGTATGTGGCTACAGTATCATCACTACAGTATGCTGATTGTAAGTCCTTTGGGTATAAACCAAGGAGTGGGATAACTGGATCAAATGGTGGTTCCATTTACGGGGTTTTTTTTTTCTTTTTTCTTTTCTTTTTGATGTTATAAATTCATTTACTCATTTTAAGATTCATTGAGCATGTAGTCTAAGCCAGGCAATCTGGTACATACACGAATTCAGTGGTTAAATATATTACAAAGTTCGTGCTATCATGACACATACTGTAATGGTAGAGACTGATAATATGTTAAAAATCAATGCAGGGCTGGGGATGTGGCTCAAGTGGTAGCGCACTCGCCTGGCATGCGTGCGGCCCAGGTTCGATCCTCAGCACCACTTCCAAACAAAGATGTTGTGTCCGCCTAGAACTAAAAAATAAATATTAAAAAAAATTCTATCTCTCTCGCTCTCTCTTTAAAAACAAAATCAATGCAGTCAAATCAAGAAAGAATATTAATTTCAGTCCATTAAAAGCTATCCCAAAGAATATATAATGTTAAAAACAGAAGAAAATACTGAAAGGTTTCCTGAGACCGAAATGATTTTCAAAGTAATCTCCCTATTACTTTCCAGAGTGGTTGCACCAATTTGCAGTCCCACCAGCAATGTATGAATGTGCCTTTTTCCTTACATCCTCACCCATTTATCATTACTTGTATTGATAATTGCCATTCTGACTGGAGTGAGATAAAATCTCGGTATAGTTTCAATTTGTATTCCTCTAATTGCTAGAGAAGTTGAACATTTTTTCATATATTTGTTGACAATTTGTATTTCTTCTTCTGTGAAGTGCCTGTTCAGTTCCTTTGCCCATTTATTGATTAGGTTGTTTGTGGGTGTGTGTGTGGGGGGCAAGTTTTTTGAATTCTTTGTGTATCCTGGAGATTAATCCTCTGAGTTGCAAGTGACAAAGATTTTCTCCCATTCTGTAGGCTCTGTCTTCACACTCTTGCTTCCTTTGCGATGAAGAAGCTTTTTAGTTTGATACCATCCCATTTACTGCTTCTTGATTTTACTTCTTGAGCTTTAGGAGTTTGGCTGAGGACATGATGGAAAGGTGGGCCTACATTTTCTTCTAATAGGTGCAGGGTCTCTGGTCTAATGTCTAGGTACTTGGTCCATGGTCCACTTTRACTAGAGTCTTGTGCCAGGTGAGAGACAGGGGTTCAATGTTATTCTGCTACATGTGGATTTCCAGTTTTCCCAGCACCATTTGTGAAGAGGTCATCTTTCCTCCAGTGTATGTTGATGGTGCCTTTGTCTAGGATGGATACCTGTGTTTATGTGGGTTTGTCTCTGTCTTCTGTTCTGTCCCATTGGTCTTAATGTCCRTTTTGGTGCCAATACCATGCTGTTTGGTTACTATAGCTCTATAGTATAGTTTAAGTTCTTGTATTGGGATGCCTCTTGCTTTGCTTTTCTTGCTAAGAATTGCTTTGGCTATTCTGGGCCTCTTATTGTTCCAAATGAATTTCATGACAACTTTTTCTATCTTTTATGAAGAACATCATTGAAATTTAATAGGAATTGCATTAAATCTGAATAGCACTTTTGGTATCATGGCCATTTTGACCATATTAATTCTGCCTATACAAGAATATGGGAGATCTTTTCATCTCCTATGGTCTTCTTTAATTTCTTTATTTAGTGTTCTATAATTTTCATTGTAGAGGTCTTTCACTTCTTTTGTTAGATTGATTGATTCCCAAGTTGTTTGATTTACTTATTTATTTATTTATTTACTTACTTATTTATTTATTTTTGAGGCTACTGTGAATGGGATAGTTTTCCTAATTTCTTTTTCAGTAACTCATCACTGTTGTATAGAAATGCAATTGATTTATGGATGTTATTTTTTGTGTGTGTGGGGGCAGTACCAAAGAGTGAACTCAGGGGCACTCAAC